GCGCGGCTGTTACTTCCGGCGACCATCCAGAAGATGAGGTTTCAGCAGAAACGAGCAGCGACATTCACAGAAATAACGGAAGGTATGCAACAACAAAAACCGATTCTACAAAACCACGAAGCGACACACTGCGTATTTACAGCGTCTGCGCTTAGTGACAACCGGAAACAGCCCCGTAGTTTAACGGTTATTCCCCGGGGGCCTGCTCGTTTCCGTTAGAGCTAACAGCAGGAGCACGCGTTAGCTCGGTTCTAACGTTAGAAACAAACAAAAACAAACAACAATTTTGTCAACAAGAGGTTTTATTTTTAATGTTTTTGTTGTAGTTTTGGATCCAGTCAGCCGGAACCAGAGTGACAGTCCGGGCTCGTGTTAGTTAAACACGCCTCCATCTTCTGATCGATTATTGGGACTCGATTTCTGGTCAATGAGTCAGAAAGGTTTGTGAGTGTTTCTGATCAGATGTTTGTGTTTTGTTGGGTTGATGTAACGCAGCTAGAAACAAACAAACAAACTTACTAAAGAAGGAGACTGATGTCCAAAAGGTTGCAACAGTTTAAGGACTTTTTATTAGTGTTCCTTAAGAAAAGAAAAGATTTTAATATGGAAATCAATTTTCAACCAATGTAATGTCACAAAATACTGGATTAGTATCTCAAAATAATGAGAAACTTTCTAAATATTTTCATTTAGTATGTCCAAAAATAGAGAAACTTCCTCAAAATAGTGACAAAGTTCCTTAAAATATAGAGAAAGTTCCTTAAAACATAGAGAAAGTTCCTTAAAATATAGAGAAAGTTCCCTAAAATATAGAGAAAGTTCCTTAAAATAATAATGTCTCTCAATATTTTGACTTAGTATTTCGAAAATAATTACTTTGTGATACTTATTCATTAATTTGAGATACTATAAGTCAATATTTTGAGAAACTGGGGTTGTCCAGGTATTTCCCCAACCTTCTAGATCCGTCTCTGTGTCGAGGTCATTGCTCCCTTTTTAACAAAGAAAACTATCAGTTTCAAAGCATTCACAGATCAAACGCCAGGTCACTATTAAGTAAGCACTGATTGTGAAACTGAAAGCTGATAACGATCCTTAAAACAACAATTTGGCCCTTTGTTGTCATTCATTCGCCCTGTTGTGTCGGGGAAACAAAGAAAGCCAAGCATCTCTACCTTCCTGCAGTTTGTCTTCCTGAACGACCTCTCACTGCCCGTCCTGCTGCTTGGGTCAGTCATCGTAATTTGCATGTAATTTTATACCAGTGCCGGAAAACAAAGGTTGTGCCTCACACTTCTGCTCACTCCTTCTTTCCCATTGATACTGAGCAGCACTGAGCCCTCCATCTCTTTTTAAGATGTGTTTCCTTATGTGTGGTAGACGAACCACGGGATAAGAAATGTTCCTTATTATTATTATAATACTACTACTACTACTAATAATACATTTTATTTAAAGGCGCCTCTCGAGGAACACCGTACAATACATACAAATAAAATACAGTAAGAAATAAGAAACAGATAAGAAAAAGACAATGTAGAGAGTTAAGTGGGGTATGCAGTTCTGAAAAGGTGAGTTTTTAGTCTGGATTTGAAGAGGGGGAGAGAGTCCAGGTTCCTGATGGAAGGAGTGGCGATGTGGAGGAGTTCAGACAGATAAGGAGGGGAAAGGTTGTGGATGGCCTTGAACGTGAACAGGAGGATTTTGAAGTCGATGTGGAGTTTGACCGGGAGCCAGTGGAGTAACCGAACCGGGGTGATGTGGTGGGTGGAGGGGGTTCTGGTGATGATCCGAGAGTTCTGAACCAGTTGAAGTTTATGGAGGTATTTGTGAGGTGGACCGAAGAGAAGGGAGTTGCAGTAATCGATGCGGGAGGTTGTGTACAAGAGTGGCAGTGGAGTGGAAACTAGGGGCGGAGGCGATTAATATTGAGTAGATGGAAATATGCAGACCGGGTGATGTTATTGATATGCGATTGGAAAGATAATGTGCTGTCAAGGATGACACCCAGACTCTTAACCTGAGGGGAGGGGGAGGCAGAGGAGTGGTCGATGGTGAGGGAAAAACTGTCAGCTTTCGAAAGGGTTGATTTGGTACCAATGAGAAGACATTCAGTTTTAGTTTAGTTTAAGGAAGTCGGAGGAGAACCAGGATTTGAGTTCAGTGAAGCAGTCAATGAGGGAGGAAGGTCGGAGAGTAGAATTGGGTTTGCTGGGTGTCATCCAATAGTGAGTCAACCATGTTTGAAGCTGGTCTTGCTTTGTCCTTCCTTGACTCTGGACTTCTCAGTATTTGAAAGGGTAGAGCGCACACCTCAGCCGGTGTGAGATGTGTTGAGTCTTACTCTGGATTGCTTTTGGAAAATACTTGTCCAACAGCAAGGGGCTACCAAGTTTCCTATGTAAATTACACTCCTCCTGTTTGACTGTACAGTTCGGATTACAATGTAGTTCTAATTTTATCATAAAGCTTAACTCTGTTGCAATGCCTGATGAGGCAATCTCCGTGATGGAAACTTCTCCTTGACCCCTTTCTGTTTCTGTCATTGATCGCCTTGCTATAGATATCGAACCCTTTCTGATGAATTAACTTTAGCTCTAATTAGTTAAGCAAATTTTTACACAGAAATCTGAAGTTTGGACTGTTTGCTTAATCTGATGTGTTACACCAAGTCCACCATATGAAAATAAAATGAGAGAACGTTAAGATATGAAAATGTTCTTGTATTCGGTCCAGTGTTCTTTAATCTGCCTGGCTGTACAGACCTGCATGGTTCAACAGATAATACAGATTAATTCAGCATAAACTGCTTTGATTTGATTCACTGACGTCATGATAGGTATGGTGGACTGTGGGGATCACATAAGTTTAAACCAATACACAAAAAAAAAAACAGCCCTACGCTATGATTTCACATTGTTTATTGGCCGTCTGGCAGGTGACCCCAATTAATTATCTGGCCAAACCCTAAATTTTAATAAAGAAACCATGGGATCCTTTTTGTTCCATTACTCCCTTAAATTTTTATGATCTACCTCAGTGTGTGTTTGCAATGCATGGTGACAACTCTCGGACGCACTGGATCGATGTCGGATGTAAATCATTCATCATATTGGAAGTAATACTGCTAGCATAAGCAACACTTGTTGCACATCGTTTGCACGCATTCGCCGTGTTATTAACTGCTTTTTCCCGCCATTTTCATGTATACAGCAGACCGAAACGATGCTGGCAGATACTCTAAGTGTAGGTTATGTAGTATAAAATGTATTGCACGTTTATGAATATTATGAACACGCTTTAATAAGTAGTATAGAATTTAATACGTGTACAATGTACGATTAATCATATAAAATGTTGGAAATTAATCGTATATAAGTATTATAATTATACACAGAACACTGGAATAATGTTATGAGCACAATAGGTAAAAGAGCACTATGGTTTGAAGTAAAAGATGATTTTATGTGAAACACACAGTATTGTTAATGAAGTAGAAAGCACCATGATGTGTAGTGTTAAGGTAATTTAGTGTCAAATATCCAATGTGTGGTAACAAGTAATGTTTCTACCAAAAACTTGTGAATAAGTATAATGCAGGTTTTTGTCATATTAATCATGTTATAAAGGTTTTTTAAAAAATACATTAAGGGACATCTGTGACATAATGGTGTAAGAAAATAGTAATAAAAGGTTTTTAAAAAATAGAAGTTCAAGTAAAATGGATTCTAATGGTGTAAATAGAGAATGGACCGGAGAAAAGCACAGACAAGGGAGATATGAACTTTACATGACACCAATTAGAGTGGAGAAACCTTGAGTCAGCAGAAAAGGCCAAGCATACAAGACAGGTGAATAGACAGGAGGGCTGAGGGAGAGAATAGACCAGACACCATGAGAGTTTGGTGGAACTTTCAGGGTATTTCCAGAGGGGTTGTACACCATTATGTCATGGATCAAAAATTGACAGATGGGCAGGACACGTAAGAGTATAAGGTGATGTTCTGAAATTCAGTCTTTCCATGGATGACTCGGGCTTTGTTTTTCTGCAAAGGGAGTAAAGCTCTACTTCTACTGCCAACCTGGATGAATCCTGGCTGTTATTTTTTTCCATTTGAAGGATAATATTATTGGACCTAATTTGGAATTAGAATCTGAGATGTTGGACATAATCTTCTGATCAAAGAAAAACCTGTTTGACTGAGACCCAACAGTTGCTTTGTCTTGTCCACTTGCCTGACTGACAGCTGCACTCTAAACTTGATCCATGCCAAATGTGTCACTGGCTTTTTTCCCCCAGCAATTTTATTTAAAGTTATTTTCTTTGGATGCCTTTTTGACCTCATAGCCTGTTTTTAAATGAACCGAATAATTCATGCCCGGCCTGTGACGAACAAACCAAACAACTTAGATTTTTTACTTGAACCGTTTCATCCCTATTTTGAACAACACAACTTGTTAACTTATCTATTTATTGGAATCAATCGAAGTAGCCTTCTGGAAAGCTTTGTCCAACCCATACATTGTGAGTACAGTCATACTTGTAGTTCTGTCTCATTTATTCCACTACCGGATTTTTGCACCGTTTTCAGGCTCGTCTGAATCTTCCGGTATGATCTATTGTGACCTTCTGAAACGGAAATTGCAATTGTGAGATGTTAAATTTTTCAATGTGCTTTGTCTGTTTGCTGATACCAAACCTCAACTGTTTCAAACATGAGCATGGAGAGGAAATAAATGAGTTTGTGTTTCTGGATATTTTCTGTTAACAGCAGTGACCTTGTTTTCTCTCTTTATCTGTGCTTTGTTGCTTTTGCCTCCTCTGTTTTTTCTTGCTAGTGAAGACCAGGAAGTGAAATAGACGGAATTAATGTGTATCCGATGGGGAGCATCAGAGTGGACTCAAGACACGACCTTCCAGATGATGGATTTCTATCTATCCAAGAAGATGAAGTCGAGTCCCATTCAATAACCCCTTCTTTTGTTTTTTAACTTTTCAGCTTTGCGTTACTATCGGAGCATTGTGCCCCTTCTCCTGCTCCAGGGCCCCTAACGAGCCCTCTACTTGGAGGGCTCCCAGGGAGCTCTTTCCTGATTGGCCAGCAGGCTGCCTCCTTGCGGTTGGCTCAACTGAAAGCCCAGCTAGCACTGACGCAGATAAACAACGCTCTCGCTGTTGGCAGCCGAACCGCAACCTTTACAGCAAACCCCAACAAACCTGCTTCCTACATATCTACAACGCCTCCTTCCCCGACTGCTGCAGCCATCAATCTCCTTAACCTTCTGAAGATTGCAAACACCATGTCCAATCCCCTGTATAACCCCTATGCCCATGGGAACCAAAGTTCTACCCAGGGGCAGTATGGACTTCCCAGTACACAGACTGAGAGAGACCCTTGGAGAGCATCTCATTTTGGACCTGGGTCCAGCTTCAGTTCTTCCGGAGCTTCCTCAGCAATTCCTGACAATTCGGTGGGAGTTGCCTCATCGCTGATGTCTCAGTCAATGGTCTACAGGCCTGAACAGAACAGGGCTACTATGGATAAAGACGTAGAGAGGTCTACAGACATGCATATTCGCACAGCCAGAGAGGAGGTGAGGGTTCTCGGCAAACCGATGCATCAGTCCATAGACCAGGGCACTCGCTTTACCAGCACACAAAGGGGTGAGTTTCGCTCCTCAGGCACAGGGATGGCCTCCTACCCAATGTCCTCAACCTCTGCCTCTCAAGGACACAGACACTCGGACGTTGAAAGTGGCAGTAGCTGTTTGGACTGGTCATCGAACTACAAAAGGCCCACTGCTGATGACTCTAAATATTATTCATCTGCTTCGTCTAGCTATGCAAGTGGTGGTGACAGCAGGTTTAATGCTCCCAAAGAAAGAGAACATGATAAGCAGTCTATTCCAGGGTTTAGGTGATTATGACTATCCAGTGCCAGACAAACCTGCAGCCCCCACAGAGTCCAGTCGACCCAAATACACCTCTGAATCAGCTTCTAGCATCCTTAAGGAATTTGGACTTGAAAAACAAGATTTGGAATATCTCCTCTCCTACCCTGAAGACCAGATCACTCCTGCTAACCTGCCGTTCATCTTGCGCCAAATCCGCATGCAGAAATCCAAGAGGGCTACAACAGCAGATCAACCCAAACCCTACCTGGAACCCCAACCCACCAGAAGCATGAGTGGAATGGACGGTCACAGCTTGAGCAGTTCCGGGGGGGCAGGAATGCGCCAGAAAGAAGTGTCATCGGCTGTTCTCCAACCGAGTAAAGTGATTGACTATGGACATACTGGTAAATATACTGGAGGGGTTGGGGATGAGATTGGAAGGACCAGTGGTGGTACAGCTAACAGTGGTGGAAGTATGTTGCCAATGGACACTTACGATAGTAGCAGACACAATCGAGATCCACTGCCAAAAACTACAACAGAGGCTAAAAGCAGAACCTTGGGTTCTTCACATGAGCAGGCGACTTCTGTTCCCAGTCCCAGGTTTTCGTACAGTTCAGTACTGAAGTCTGTGGCTCCCCCAAGCAATGACCAGACCAAACTATTGCCGACCCAACCGAACCAGGACTTGCAAACTATCCTCAGCTATTTATCTCTGCCAAACAAAGACACAGACAGCAGAGTTTTCAAGTCTGAAGCCTCCAAACCTGTTCCTTCAAAAGAACCAGAGACAGATCACCAGTCAGCATTGAAGACCAAACCAACCAGCACTGTGTTGCATGGTGTGCACCCCAGCCGGCCTGGCCTTGTGCTCATTGGCAGTAATGACACCAGGGGCTCTAAGGATCAGAGTAAAACTCGAGTTCAAGGGTCAACAGTTGCTGAGCAGATGAAAAAGCAGCAGACCCAGCAGCAGATGCAGAAGAAGCCAATGCAGCAACAATCGAAACAGCAGACACCGAAGCAGCCGGTATCACAGATGGGGCGACCGGCGTGGCCGCCAGTTTTTTCTGCCGCACAGACAGTTCCCGCTGCTCCTCTGATCCCCGGCATCAATGATTCCTCACAGGCCCTGAGACATCCAGCTTTTATACCTGGAGATCCTCGCCCCATCGTTATTCCTCCAGCTCTGCCTCAGCCAGTCCCGAGCCTGATAGGTTTCAATAACATGACACTGGCGACTTCCAGCAAGCAGCCTCCAGCAATGGTTTCCAAGCGTCTGCCAACTCCGGCCATGATGCATGACTATGCAGCGGCTCCGCCAAAAATCTTTCCACATACCTGTTCTCTGTGTAACAAAGAATGTACTCATATGCAGGTGAGTAGAAGACTGTACTCTGTTCTCCCCACTTTAGGACATTGTGAGTTGTTTATTTCAGTATCTAAAATTGTTGTTTTGGATTGGAAAACACCAACTATTATTTTAGATATTTATTTTCTGGGGAAGTGTTGAAGGGTTTTGATTATTTAAAGGGGACCATTTATGCATTCCCTATAATTTTACAATGTCAGATATCAATGGGCTGTTTGGATGAACTGAGTGGCTGCATAAACTGAAGTGTTTGCAAAGCTCCTCTAGTGGAATCACAGAGTAAAAATAAAGAAAATTAGCACAAGGTCCCCTTTAAAAATTCTAAGGGCAATACTGTCTAGTATGTTTGAAAGGATTTATGTAAAATATTATTTGAATTCATGTGCACCTTGATTACAATGAACTGCTTGAAAGAAGCCTGCCACCACATATAAACTGTGCAAACTTTAATTAACACTGTTTATTGATTCTGATGTATTTTAAACTAAAATATTTTGTACCAAAATGTTTCAATGATACCAGTCACAGCTGACAGTGTCTGATTTACATGTGATTTGATTGACTTAAAACGGTTGGAACACCACTGTCTAGTTTAGATAGATGAAGATCAATATAAGTACTGACCAATAGGGCTGCACGATTAATCACGAATCAATATTGAGATTGCGATTATTTAACGACCGAGCATTCAACCCCCAAATGATTGGCCTTTCACCATCATTCTGTGATCTGATTTTGTTCTGCACACAGTATGAGTCTGAACAGCGACAGTAAACTTTGGTTACCTGGCTGAAAGGTTGGAGGTGTGAAGCATCTTCCTCTAACAGCTCACTGTTCCTCTAGTCCCATTAGTCCCTGACATATTTACAACCGATCGCTGGCAAAAGATTCGGAAAATTACAATTGTCTTGTTTTGTAGATGCGTTTTTGTTGAACTATAGCGCCCAGTGTCAGGCTAACTGATAAAACTTAGCTCTTCCTATGAACAGCTTACTTTATGTTCAGTTTTCGTAAGCTGTAACTTAATACTGCATTTTCTCGGCGAATAAAAGTATCCAGCCTGCAGCTGCATTGTTTTGTGCATGCAACAACTTAATAGTTGCCCAAAAGTAAAACCAAAACATCTTGATCACCCAAGGTTAGTTTAGGAAGCACAGAGCCTGCATTTTAAACGTTTGTTTAAATGTTGGAAACCAAAATCGTGATTGTGATTAATATTTGATTAATTGTGCAGCCCTACTGACAATGAAAGTTGCTTAATTTAATAAAATGATGAGATGCAACCGACTTCTGAGGCGGTTGTTGAGACGGAACCAAGGCCATAGAAGACTCGACGAAGAATCTGAAAATCTGAAGAACAAGATGATGCATCAGAAGATAATGGAAGATGGCCTTTTCTTCTTGTCTGTTTTTTGGCCTTTGTCCCACAGTAAATGTTCACTTTTTTTAAACAAGTGAATTTGTTTATATATATATATATGTAATGTGTTACTTTAATTAATTTAATATTTAACAGTAGGAATCACTTTTTTGTAATAATATTATAGAGACTACCGACTCCCCTTTTTGTGTATTTCTAAGATTTTTATTGTGCCCCAATCACTACTAAAAATACTTTGAACCGAAAGATACCAGCAACCGTCATACTTCAAGGATCAGAAGAACAGAAGAGATTTCTTTTTTGACCATCTGTTGTTGATATTTTCTTCCTTTTTGGACACAGCATTTCACATTTTGGCCAGTATCAAGAACCCTAGAAGAACTTTTTATTTTGGTTTGTTACTGGGACTCCTGTATTTGTTATGTTTCATGTTAAAGACTTGTTCCCCTTGAAATCGAGTTGACTATAAAGTCAACTTTTTATTTACTGTTTGCTGATGTCTCAGCTTCTCACTTAGACTCAAGGTTGTTCCTTTTTTGTTTTTTGGATGACTGTTGGCTGGAGATAAATATATTTTGCTTTTGTAGACTTGCTTGTTTAATATCCACACAAATTGTGACTTGTACTAGAGCATAGACATCGAGTTGGACTAGAAAAAGACTCAACAGACCAACAATGAGGCCCAAAATTTGGATATTAATTGAACCATTGAAGCTCATGGTAGCCTTGATGATAACGGGGCTTATCTAAATGCTTTGTGTTTTTTTGTTTTGACTACTAGGATTGGCTCTCCCACCAGAACACCAGCCTTCACCTTCAGAACTGCAATCTCCTGCGAAAACAGTCAGTCTTTTTTCTTTTAACTTTTCCCTGTAAAGAACTTGTTAATTAGAGCTATTTGTTTGATAATCATTGCCTTTTTTCTGAATACTTTTGGGGGTGCCCACCAAGGAGGCACTAAAAAATTGTGGAGGAAAGAATAAAAAGAAAAAGATTGCTTAGGGTTCACAAGAGTGGTTGATTTATAGTATGCAGAACCTGTTAAATTCCTCAATATCCTTTTGACTTTATGAGCATCACCCGAATACAACCATTTTGTAGCCACTTACCTCAACACAGAAACCTTTGGCTTTTGGTGTTTGAAATCCTCTCTACTGTTTAAATTGTTGATTTTGAATTGTTCTTTTCCACAGATACCCAGATTGGGATGGTGAAATAGCACTCAAACCCAGGTACATTTCTTACAATCTCTGTTTTATATCACTGACAGTTTTAGCCACAACATGTGAATGACGGGAATCGTCCAAATGTTTTAACTGCAAGACAAGTCCAAACCCCTTTCACACTACCCTTCAAACAACAACTGATTTGGCAGAAATTGGGGCATGAGTGGTCTGGGGTGACCAATTCAAGACTAAAATATGTTTGAATCTGTACAGTGTCTGCCTGGTTTTAGTTTTCAGACTCGTAGCAACCACACAAGTTTTTCAAGCAGTACCCTGACTAACACAATTTTCTGTCACTGACTTTTGCTTTTCTCACCCATTGCTCTCTTCAGGGCTGCAGGAAGAGATGCCAAGCCCGCAGCCCCAACCTCTGCACAGACTTCCCAGAATCGTCTCCAGAAAACCAGCCATGGCAGTCACTCCCGTTCCCGCTCATCCAGTCCCCGTCGCCGTCGTGGTCCAGAGGGTAGAAGGGCGAAAAGCAGTAGCCGCTCACGATCACCGCACAGTCCCAGATACACTCGCAGGTCAGTCAAACATAAATTCTGACACGAGCAATAACATGGGTGAACAGAGTCAATACCACTTCAGATTGTGAAATGACCAAATATGTTCCTGCAGAGCATTTTAATATTCATTTTAGCCTCTCAGTCACCTCTTGAAAAATCTTGACTTGCGTGAATTATTTGATTGTTTTAAATGTATCTGCAAATTAATTGAGTTATAAACGGATTTCATTCTGACTTTTATCAGGTCTCGTTCTCGCTCCCCACGGTATAATCACCTGACCTCCTCCCACTATCGGTCACGTTCAAGGAGTCCCGATAAACAACAACCGCCAAGGAGGAGAGGCGAGAAACGGTCCTCACCGAGGAAGAATGACGAGAGACGATCGCCACCAAGGAGGAGTGATGGGAGACGCTCACCACCGAGGAGGAGTGACGAGAGACGATCGCCACCGAGGAGGAGTGACGGGAGACGATCGCCACCGAGGAGGAGTGACGAGAGACGATCGCCACCGAGGAGGAGTGACGGGAGACGATCGCCACCGAGGAGGAGTGACGAGAGACGATCGCCGCCGAGGAGGAGCGGTGAGAGGCGATTCTCGACAGAGGGGTCATCCCTTCAAGGAAAGAAGTCGAGCAGTGCAGAGAGGCTGGCTAAGAAACTACTGGAAACTTCAGGTTTGAGAAATTTTATTTAAAAAACTTTGAAGAATGTATGTATTTTATATAATGTATTTTTAGGCTTGTCCTGGTATTGAACATAGCTGCACATATTCAGTTTACCACTGTAGAAAATAAAGCAAATCACATTTGAGAAGCTGCAAACAGAGTTTGGGATTTTTTTCATGAAAAAAAGGACTCGAAACACTAAATTCATTATCAGAATTTTTGCCAATTAATTTGTCATTTGACAGAACAATAAATTCTGTATAATTGTATACCAACATAAACACATGTTAATAATCTCCTACTTTATGTGTAGAATGATGAATCACAAATGACAGGAAATATTAAATGAAAAGAGAGGAATAAAATAAAATACTTCCACCAAAATACTGCTGTTTGTCTGACTTTGTGTTTGTTCCTCTAGCTGTCCAGTCTCTATCAAGACAGTCTGACCTTGAGACGGTGGTTAAAACTCTGGCTCCTGCCTTATTGGCTGAGCTAGTCAAGATGAACGCCTCTTCATCATCCTCCTCTTCTTCCAAAGGAGGGAAACCCTCCTCGTCTCCTCGCCCTGCAGTAGGGAACAAATTGTCTTGCTCATTTGCTTCTACAGCAAAGAAAAAGTTAACAACAAAACCCTCTAAAGCAAACCCCAGCCTGGAGAAGAGTGAGGCATGTTCTTCCACAAAGATTATGGTTAGTGTGTGTGCGTATGTTATTGTGCCAGGGAAGTCTGTCTATCACCTGGTAAACAATTTATTTTTCCTTCCTTTCTTGTGTCTCTATTTCATTCTTTGTCCAGATAACACTTTTATCAGAGACCTGATCTGAAAACCATTTAACCATTTTTAAAAGACAACCAGTTTCAGTAGGTCTAAGTTTGTGTTTCTCTCTCTCTCTCTCTTTGCTCAGTCTGGTAAATCTTCACCTCCAACCATGGTGAGACTAAATGGGATTTGTAGTTCTCTCTCACACAATAACGTGGTTGCTGCTGTGGAACAATTTGGAAAAACCAAGTCAGTTGTACTGTTTCGGTCCATTTCAGAGGTATGTGACAGTGAAAAGACGTGTTTTATCTACCCAGGTTTTTTTGTAAGCTTTTGGCCTCAGGAATATTCTTATTCTCATCCAGGATAACGGAAATAAACTCCAGTATTTGAAACACCTCTTAGTTTAAAGATTTGGTCAGTTAGACGTGTAGTGCTGAGTTGTTAATGTTTCATGTGTATTGAGTAGATGGTCCTGACAGTTTGTAGTAATGCAAAAATATGTGTGTGTGTGTGTGTGTGTGTGTGTGTGTGTGCCGTGTCAATGTAGGCAATCGTATGTTTTGAGAAAGAGGAACCCGCTAACAAATTGAAGAGCGTAAAGAACTTCAAAATTAAAGGAATGGCAGTCACTATTGTCAGAGAACAGGTATTTAATTTTTTTGTCTTTCTTTCTCTGTCCCTGGTATATATATATATGTATATATACTAAAGCAGCCATATTATGCTCCTTTTGAGGCTATTATAAAAGGTTTACATGCTTTAATGTAGAAAAAAAATGTCATACTGGCTATTGCTTCTGCACCTGTTCAGTACTCCTTCTTGTTGTGGACTTTGAGCTTTGTAACTTTGCAGACCCTTTACACTAAAAGAAAGGGGGGAAACCCCAAAAGCATAATATGGCCTTTTCTGCTGTATTGTGGTCACATTGTCAGTTATCAGATTAAAATAAAATCCCAATTTCTTTGTTTCCAGGATACTGTTTCTAATGAGCAAAAGAAGCCTCCTCAGAAGTAAGATATGTTTCACAAAGACCTCTTTTTAACCTGTATTTTAACTGATTTCTTTTTAGCCAGGTTTTCTTAGTTTAATTCTTTTTGTCAATATTTTAATATAAATATGAAGTTGCTGTCTATATTTCATGGGCAATCAAATTTGTTTAAAATAAAATAAAAATAAAACAAAAAGATTTAAGTATTTCCAACATACAGTTCTTTTCAGAATTTACCTTATGAACAAAATCACTGTGTAAATTATTCATATTGTTCATTGTTCAATTCATAAAACTAATCCCAGAAATTAAACATTTGTGAAACCTTTGACTAAATCTACTGCATACAAAGATTTCAAACTGTGACCTCGACTTTCCATTTCTCCTTCTCCTCCTGCTTGACTCATGTATCTCTTTTGTTCACAGAAAACCTGCCACATCCAGTGTCTCCACACCTCAAACCACATTATCCAAAACCGTCACTGCCACTAGAAACATGACTCAGCTTAAAGAGCCTCTACCCTCTGGAGCCAGAAAATCGTCAACAGGCAAACTTACCAATCAGAAAATTGCAGCTAAAGGCTCAGTTAAAGGCCTAAAAACTACTAAAATGGTAAAAGGAGGAAAGTTGCCTCCGAAGGGACCTGTGAAAAAGCCCACAGTAAAGCAAACATTGTCCTCAGAATCAAACCCTATGGCTTCTGAAAATCAGCCTGACACTGGTGACTCTATTCCTAAAAAATCTGAAACCAGTATTAAAGAGTCTGTGGTGGTGCTGAAAAAGACAGCTGAGGTTGATAAATCAGCAAACAGGACTGTTACTGAACCAACAAAAGGCAAAGAGTTTATCACCGACGCAAAGGTTTTGGCTTCCAAACCAAATATGGCCTCAACTACACAAAAACCCCAAACTCAAGCAGCTAAGTTGGCTGCAGCAGGAGCTGTGGCAATAGAAAAGGTTGAAGAAACATCTGCAAAGGCCGTGAGTGTGCGTTCCAAATCGGCAGCTTCAAAAAATTGCCCTGATTTAGAAAATCCAAAGCCCAAAGAATCTGAAACCAAGGTTCAAGAAGCTGTGACAAATGTAACCATATTTGAACCCAAGAATCAAGCCAATGACACTGAAGACACTGAACCAATGCAGCTTGAGGAAACAGTAGTTAAATTGGTAGAGCCCAAGGAAGTTGAAAGTTGTGCTGATGGTAAAGGGAAAATAGCAACTACGGAGGCTGCACCAGAAGATTCAGCAGGCAGACCCAGTGATAGCCAACCACCAACCAGTACAGTTAAGACCCAGCCAACAAAAGGCAATGAGTTTGTTACTGAAGCAAAGGTCTTGGCTTCCAAAGCAGAAACGGCCTCAACTACACACAAACCCAAAGCTCCAGTGGACAAGTTGGCTGCAGCAGGAGCTGTGGCAAAAGAAAAGGTTGAAGAAATGGCTGCAAAGGCTGTTAGTGTGCCTTCCAAATCTGATGATGTAGAAAATCCCATGCCTAAAGAATCTGAAACCAAGGTTCAAGAACCTGTGGTTGTGCCAAAAGACAAAGCTGAGATTGTTGAGACTGCAAGTGTGACTACTTTTGAACCCAAGCATCAAGCAAAACTTCACAAACCCAATGACACTGAACCAATGCAGCTTGGGGAAACAGTAGTTAAAGTGGCAGAGCCCAGAGAAGTTGGAGTTTGTGCTGATGGCAAAGGAAAAAAACCGACAACTAGAGATGTTGTACCAGAAGATTCAGCAGGCAAACCCAGTGATAGCCAACCACCAACCAGTACAGTTGAGACCCAGCCAACACAAACCGACGTCAAAGCTTTACCACACGACCAGCAAAGAACCCTGTCAGGAGAAGAGTCTATCAGACAAAAACCTTTATCCGAAAAGTCTGAAACCAGTATTAAAGAGTCTGTGGTGGTGCTGAAAAAGACAGCTGAGGTTGATAAATCAGCAAACAGGACTGTTACTGAACCGACAAAAGGCAAAGCATTTGTCACTGAAGCAAAAGTTTTGGCTTCCAAACCAAATACGGCCCCAACTACACAAAAATCCCAAACTCCAGCAGCTAAGTTGGCTGCAGCAGGAGATGTGGCAAGAGAAAAGGTTGAAGAAAGATCTGCAAAGGCCGTGAGTGTGCCTTCCAAATCAGCAGCTTCAAAAAATTGCCCTGATTTAGAAAATCGAAAGCCTAAAGAATCTGAAACCAAGGTTCAAGAAGCTGTGACAAATGTAACCATATTTGAACCCAAGAATCAAGCCAATGACACTGAAGGCACTGAACCAATGCAGCTTGGGGAAACAGTAGTTCAAGTAGCAGAGCCCAAGGAAGTTGGGAGTTGTGCTGATGGTAAAGGGAAAATGGCAACTACGGAGGCTGCACCAGAAGATTCAGCAGGCAAACCCAGTGATAGCCAACCACCAACCAGTACAGTTAAGACCCAGCTAACAAAAAGCAATGAGTTTGTCACTGAAGCAAAGGTCTTGGCTTCCAAAGCAGAAACGGCCTCAACTACACACAAACCCAAAGCTCCAGTGGACAAGTTGGCTGCAGCAAGAGCTGTGGCAAAAGCAAAGGTTGAAGGAACAACTGCAAAGGCTGTGAGTGTGCCTTCCAAATCTACAGCTTCAGAAAATCAGCCTGATTTAGAAAATCCCAAGCCTAAAGAATCTGAAACTAAGGTTCAAGGACCTGTGGTGGTGCTGAAAGACACAGCTGAGATTGTTGAAACAGCAAATGTGACCAGTTTTGAACCGAAGCATCAAGCAAAACTTGACAAATCCAATGACACTGAAGACACTGAACCAATGCAGCTTGGGGAAACAGTAGTTAAAGTGGCAGAGCCCAAGGAAGTTGGAAGTTGTGCTGATGGTAAAGGGAAAATAGCAACTACGGAGGCTGCACCAGAAGATTCAGCAGGCAAACCCAGTGATAGCCAACCACCAACCAGTACAGTTAAGACCCAGCCAATAAAAGGCAATGAGTTTGTCACTGAAGCAAAGGTCTTGGCTTCCAAAGCAGAAACGGCCTCAACTACACACAAACCCGAAGCTCCAGTGGACAAGTTGGCTGCAGCAAGAGCTGTGGCAAAAGCAAAGGTTGAAGAAGCTCAGTTTGATTATTTACAAGAGACTTTTTCTAAGGAGCAAAAGAAACCTCAGAAGTAAGATATGTTTCACACAGACCTTGTTTTAACAGTGATGGAGGGCAGAGGGTTTTTTATCTTGTTTAAGTCTATATGTTACTATTAGTAGTTAGTAGTTGCTGCCTAAATTTGCCTGTTTTTCAGATTAGGATCTCACCAACATTCAGTTCATATAATCAGAATTTACTGCAGCTGATGTGTTCACTTTTTGGGAATATACCTTGTACGCAAGTGCACAGAGGATGGACAGAATTTTACACACCTGTGCAGTTTAATATAGTCCAAAATACTTGCATTAAGGGAGACTTTATGTCTGTAAACTGTACAGGTATCATGCACATGGTATTGTGTCCATTCCGTGTATCTTAAATGTCATTCATATTAAAAAATGACAGCATTATCCTTGCATCTCCACTTTCTCCTGTTTAACCCATATAACTTTTTTTTTTGTTCACAGAAAACCTGATACATCAACACCTCAAACCACTAAATCCACAACCACCACCACAGACAAACTTGCCAATCAGAGCATTGTGCCTGAAGGACAAGAGACCAAGACAGATGCTTCACAGATGCAACCGCAGGCTCCAGGAAACCCAACTGAACCTGCTGTGGAGCTGCCAGCTGGAGGGGTGGAGATCAGAACAATGCAAAAAGGTACGTTGGAGACCTTTTCAATTTATGGATGGCAGTGTTTAAAGAATAAGGTTGACAAGATTGTATATTTGTTTATTGTCAAGAACAAGGTTATTTATCCAACAGGTGAATGTAAAGGAGGAAGGTGCGATGCTGATGATCTTTCAAATTACTTAATCTTAATTGAATTTAATCTTTTGAAGATCTTGTGACTGCATTGAAGACACAAACAGATGCAGCATCAATCAAGGATGAATCTGTCACAACTAAACCAACAGCTGCAGTGAGCGGGCAGCAACAAGCAGCATCCACTTCGTCTTCGACTGCAATTACCACTCTGACTATTGGAGAGATGGTGGAAAAGTACCTTGATCCAAAGAGTATTGGTAAGAAATCCAAGAAATAGTCCGACTTCGTCTGTCATAATTTTCCCATCTTTCATTCTCTCTATTATAAAATATTCATTTACATTTCTGTGTCTCTCTTTCACAGATTGCCTCAGTCGGGAAACCTTCTTCTCCACAACAGTAGGTCAAATCACTTAAATGAAATTGTTGTATAACAAGAACAGAATAGGACCTACCTTCATTCTTGCACTCAGATGATGCACAAATAAGCATTAAAATGTCCCTAATAAATGATTATGGAACATAATACTGTACCCCGTACAATCTGCAGGTCTTGAATTCAGTTTTTCTAAAGAAATCTCAAATATTTTCAGGCAAAAATGAATTGATTAATTGAATGAATACATTTTAAGGGTAGTCCGATCAGCGTTTTTGGGGCAGATGACCGATCACTGAAAGCAGTGTTGGCATTGGAAAGTATTGGCAGTATTGGAAAAGACCATTTGCTTCTGAGTAAAGATATCCTAGCCAAATATGTTGAATTGTTTGGTGGTGGTAACTATTGATTAAGGCCATACAAGGCCTTTCTGTGGCCTTTCTTCAAAACTCGAAATACATAAGTCTTGTCTTTGTTGTGCAAAATTTCATCCTGATAGAATAAAAGGATGTTTTTTCTGTTTCCAGATTGTGCCTTAAATTTACTAATTGAATTTAAATTTAATTAGGGTGTTATATAGATGATATAGAATGAAAAAAGAGCTTACAAGGGTTGTAATAACTGCACTTGTCTTGATCTTTAAACATTGCTTGCCCTCATCATTATCCCCTTTCTCTCTCTTTCCTTAATCTTTTCCAGCATACTTTTCATAAGCAATTACTCATAACCGGACTGCCGAAATATCAGTTTTGCCGCTACACGGAGGAAGCCCTTGCCAAACGACTCAAGCCATTTGGGTTTCAATATGAAGATGACAGCATTTATGTTGTTCCTCAGGCACGCATGGTAGGCACAAAGTTTTAATTCTGCATTGGTTTGGTTAATTGATCCGATGTTTCTGCTGTTGTTGACTGATTCTGAGATGGATGGAATTAATTTTTTTGTTGTTTTCTTCGTCATTTATTATGACAATTTTGCATACTTATTATTGTTATATAGACATTATTGGTACCTATATGAGATTTTAACCATGCTGTTGGAGATTTGCTTGGAACAAGTAAATAACTGTAGACATTTTTGTTTCTGGTTTTCATCTCAGGCCTTCGTCACGATGCCAAGTGTTGAGATTGTGAGAAAAATAATACGGTTCAGAGCGAAGAGTGCGATTCTTTTCAAAGAGTCTAAACTCTGCCTTAGTGTATTAACACGCCACCATGCTTTGACACCGGTAAGCTACACACACAAATAATTTTTTATTACTGACAGATTATACAGAGCTGGTTACGTGTATGTATGTATGTATGTATGTATGTATGTATGTATGTATGTATATAAATACCTGTAGATTATTCTATTCTGTTGTGTTTGTCTTTTATGTTAATATGTGAATTTGATGATCTTTTTGTAGCATGAAGGAACTACATATTTCCCTTTAGTGCCTTGTGTTGTATGATGATTACATTTCCTTGATTCCTTGATGTTCAATATATTCAAGACCTATACTTTAATATTTAAAGTATCAGTAAATTCAGAAAATAATTTATGGTGATATGCATACAGAGTCTCACGGATTCTGGAGTGTATTGACATGAGGTGAGTCTGGTGCATTGTGGGAAAGTATCTAACGCTGCCTGCTCTGATGTTTCTGTTTTAGATTGAGTTTTATAAACAACTGATGATGTGGATGAAGGCTGTAAGTAACTCAAAGACACACCGACACACTTCCTCATCATTTGTAAACTGCTTTGAATTTTGTAGGTAGAAGTAATCCAATTACAAAATTAATTTATTGCACTTAGGAGTGCAGTTGTGTGTGTCTCTGTCCTCTTTTTAACTCTCTGGTTTGGATGTCCACTTCCTGTTCTTAACGCAGCCTGTGAGCAGTGCTGGACTGAGAACTGTCTTCGTCAAGAACATCTCACCGAGTGAGACCAGGAACCTCAGAGAAGCACTGAAAAAAATCAGTTGTGTCAGGAACTTCCTGCCTCTCCTCAACAAGGTATAAACGCACACAAACATGTGTTTAAGTGACTTTAAAAAAAAAAAGACTTCCTGTCACATATGCGTGCGTATGCTTGTGTGTTCCAGGTATTTATAGAATTTGAGTTTGATCGCGATGCTGATCGACTCGGAGTTTGGTTCAGTCTCCTGAAACAAGCCCCTAGATATGAAGTCCACAGACTGTCAGTGCAACACGGCTGTATTCCACTACGTAAGTCTGTTTTAGTTAATAAAAAACACACCTAAGATATCAGTTTGTAAAAAATAATGGCAAATGTATAATGCAAGGATTTACTGTTTAGTCGCTCTTCAAATATATTCAAACAATGTCACTTGTTTGTTTGTGCAGCACCGAAACTTCCTGAGAACGCTCTGCCGGACAGCAAGGATGCTGTTGCCGGGGCAACTGTCCCACCAGTCCAATTTGGAGTTCCACATGGCAGCATTGCTCCTTTTTGGGTCACGATAAAAACTAGTCCCTTCCTCTTCCCGACCATGTCTCCTTGGTTCATCATCCCAGGTGAGAGAGACATTTGTCTCACATTACAGTGTAATACTGCCAAATTAACCATGTTAATGTTCTCAATGTGTTTCAATGTTTAATTTTTAACTCCAAGATCACCTGACCGTCAGAGGGAAGGACGACATTGAGGTAATCGCGTTTCTTTATCTTTCTACAGTGCTGCATGAAAGTATGTGAACCCATCTGAGTATTTTGGAGTTGTCTGTTGTTTTACCATTGTTTCAGTCAAAATTACATTTGTGATAATGCTCAATTTGCAAATCATGTTCATGCACTTTAAAAAAGGGCTTTTATCTGTTCTTGCAAATGCAATCTTCATATGTGAGATGTAATATTTAGATTTATGTGACACAGTGTTATCAATTTCACCCAATCTCAGTTTGTTTAGAAAGTGGCTACACCTTCTCTTTGGTGTGTACAAAGAAAGCCTTAGATCTGTCCAAAAAAACTAATATTTTTATACAAGTTCAAACCTACATCGCCCAACTTCTTGTTCACATTTATTCTTTCAATACATTATGTGAACCTCTTGCTCACAGTTTTTGCTCATCTGCAATGTCAATCTAATCAGACATCAACGCGTACCAAACAGTTGAATCATTGTTAACGACACATGAATTAAACTTGGGGCTTTGAACATTGTCTCTTCTAGGAGGCAAGACTTAAGAGTTCCAGGCCCACAGTCATGTTGACCGGTTTACCAGTTGGAAAATACACACATGTGGACGTGGCCAAGCTGGTCTGGCGGTATTTCCCTAAAAAGAACCTTGACTCCTTGTACTACAACGTGATTGTCTTAACGCTGCAGAGGAGGGTAAGGAGTAGAAACGGAAGACCGTTACAGCAACAAACATTTTTGTTATCATAATTTTATTATAGTAATGTTTGTACAATTTAATGGAGCTGTTGTTTGAACTTGTTTTTCCTCTCCTGTCTTTCCTCTCTTCACCTCCAGGCTTTTGTGCATTTCGACAATTGGACTACGTCCTGCGATTTTGTCCAAGCTAACGTGAAAAAGAATTTCAAAGACTGTAAACTCGGTGTCCACTTTGTCTTGCAAGACATGAATCCTGAATCCAGTGAGGTATGGACACTAAAGGGGAACTCTGGGCTGTGTTACTCTGCCAGAATCAGGATGGGATAGAAAAATCAAGTTTCAGAAACAGTTGATACTGCAAATAATTAATTTCTTCTGTAGAAATTTCAGAGGGAAATAATAACAGATCATCATTGGCGGTCACTTGTAGACAAGTATGATTGTCAGGTGGGCAAAGAGGTTTATATAGACCCACTTATTTTGTAGTGTGGAGACGAGTGTAAGGTACAGGTTGTTGATGTGGGTTTGGGCCTTTTTGTTGACATTGTGATGTTTTTTTTTTTTTTTTTTTTTACTTATCTAGAGGATTTTCCTGAGGCACCTCTGTTGGGGAATCTACAGGTCCCTGCTAGATGTGGTTTGTGTTTCTAAGCCGTTTATGACAATCCATGACTTTATAATCTTCTTTTTTGCAGGAGATGATGTACAAAAATCTGATGAAGTGGAGCAACGCTGTAAGTCATTAGTCACATAATTCCAAGTAATAGTCCAATGTAAGCTGCTATCTTTGCGACTGTGGGCCCTACCACCAACTGTTTCTGGATCTTCAGGGAGTTCCAGAGCCAAAGTCACTGGAGGAGCGGTTGCTGTGTGTGGAGATTTCTGAGACGTCTGTGGACATCGTCAGGATGGTCATGGAAGTGGTGTCGTCCATCGCGACCTTCGTCGGCTTCCTGCCACTCGCCAACAGGGTATAAGAACACAAACATCTGCACTTCTCATATTTTCGTGTTGAGAGAGCCGCTGTGTCAGTGTATAATGTCTTGAAAAGTGTTAAAGGGCATTGAATTTGCTGTAGTTTAGTTTTTGTAGGCCTTAGAAGGTTACACAGGTCTTTAATAGGTTTTCTTTACTTCCATAGACTAACATTATTATTACATTCATAACAAGAAATCCAGATGTGTCATATTTGTTTCACATCTTCAAGTAGTTCCTCCACTCAGTCATTTCACACTTTGCCATGACTGTCATTCTTCCTCAGATCTGCATTGAGATGGCTGACTCCAGCGGTGTAACGAAGGTGGTGGAGAAATACAAAACCTTCTCACCAGAATCTTTACAAAGGCGCGAACTTTGGTACGCATACGTCCTTTTTATTTTTACAATTTTGTGTCATCATGTATGACATCACACTTGAACTGACCAATTTCTTGTTTTTCTCTCTGCAGGAGTAAAGTTCAGCGTTTTGAGACGTGAGTATATCACTTTATAGAGACATGTTTAAGTTACCAAAAGCATAACAGTAATCATTGTGATTTTTTAGCTGGTGGCCCCAAGTCACTTTTCATTGGTTACATTTATTTCCCAGAGTTCAAGACAACATTAGTTGATTCGTCAATTGACAGAAAATGAATGGGCAAATATGTTTTTAATCATTTAAGCAATTTGTAAAGCAAAAATGCCAAAACATTCTCCGTTTACAGCTACTCCAATGTGAGGAAACCAGCAAGTTTTCTGCTTTTAAATCATTGTAAACTAAATATGCTTGGTTTTTGGAAACATGGTTAAGAGACAATAGGGATTTTGATATAAATACACTCAACTTGCTGTATTTGTCATAAACAAGAATTGATGAATACTGAACAATTAACTCAGGGACAATGAATAAGAACTTGTATTTCTGATTCTTTAACAAAGTGCTGCATTCAGCCATTTTGTGAGAACACTAAAACTTGCAACTGACAATCCTTTCTATTATTAATTTTTAGTTTGAAGAGCCTAAAACAGCGTCTAGATGATGCCAGTGAGATCACAATAAACTTTGAAGGGGACACCATCAATGTCGTGCCCAAGCCCCCAGCTGTGAAATGTCAAACCCAGCCTCCTTCTACTGAACCTTCGGATAATGGGTCACAATCTGCTCTGCAAGCCAGTGGTCCTTGTGGGTCCAACATATCTGAGCCCATCACAGACAAATCAAGTTCTACAGCCACAAGTGATGTAGAAATGGAGGAAGATGGTGAGAAACCAGCAACTGAGATCGCAGTAAACTCCACAGTTGGTCCAGAGGCAAATAAAGATGTAGAGAAAGCAGAAGTAAAGGAGGAAGAGGGCTCATTAGTAGTTTCTATTTCTCTTGCTGATGTGACCTCTGCAGTCGCCAGTGGCCCTGGTGGATCCACCAATTCTGAACCAGTCACAGAAGGATCAAGTGCTTCCACAACAAGTGATGTAGCAAAGGAGGAAGACGGTAAGAAACCAGCAACTGAGATCGCAATAAACTCCACTGTTGGTCCTGAGACAAATGAAGACGTAGAGAAAGAAGAAGTAAAGGAGGAAGAGGGCTCATTAATAGTTTCTATTTCTCTTGCTGATGTGACCTTAAACTCTGCAGTCGGCAGTGGTCCTGGAGGATCCACCAATTCTGAGCCAATCACAGAAGGACCAAGTGCTACCACCACCAACAATGTAGCAATGGAGGAGGATGGTGAGAAACCAGCAACTGAGATCGCCGTCCACCCCACTGTTGGTCCCGAGGCAAATGAAGATGTAGAGAAAGTAGAAGTAAAGGAGGAAGAGGGGTCACTAATAACTTCCATTGCTCCTACTGATGTGACCTTGACCTCTGCAGCTGCCAGTGGAAACACAGTCCCTGCTGCTTCTAGCTCTGTCCCATCAGCCACAGCGGCCATGCCTGAAGAAAACATTGTAGAACTTCCACAGATTAGCACGGACATTTTCAAGGTCCTCATGGCGGCGGTTCACCAGCGCAGATTTGCCCGAGAGAGCAAGTCCGAGAGCCAGGAGAGGTCCCAGAGCCAGGAGAGGTCCCAGAGCCAGGAGGGGTCCAGGATCCAGGAGGTCCAGGAGGGGTCCAAGATCCAGGAGGGGTCCAAGATCCAGGAGGGGTCCAAGATCCAGGAGGGGTCCAAGAGCCAGGAGGGGTCCAAGATCCAGGAGAGGTCTCAGAGCCAGGAGGGGTCCCAGAGGCACGAGAGGTCCAAGAGCCAGGAGAAGGAAGTGAGGCCTGGCTTTAAATTTCACTCAACCTTTACATTTGGAGTCAATTTAGAATCAATGGCTTTAAATGGCCCGTGCTACAAGATAATATTAGTGGATATGATATTAGAAAACAACAAATATATGTGCCATCACATTCTTTTCCCAAACACACATCTATGTCAGTGACAGCTTTGGCCGGAGGCATTGTGTTTTCATGTTTGCCGTCCGATACTTGTGAACGCTCAATCTCATATCTCAAAAATCCTTTTTGGTAATTTCTTCTGAATTTGGCACAAATGCTCAATCACACTTGAGGATAAACTGATCAGAATTTGGTGGTCAAAAGTTGGTCAGGTCACTGTGACATCATGAAACTTTTGGCCATAACCAAATACCATGACAATTTTTCGGGCAATGAATTGGTGAAGCTTTTGACTCCAAGTTCACTTTGACTTCAAAATGACCCTGAGAAACATTTTTTGTTCATACTTCAAGAATTGATTCAGTAATAACACCAGGCTTATACTTTAATTTGCATTTAAATGTGGGACAAAACTATGCTGTTGATTATTTCTGCATTTATATTTTTTAATAACTGAGATATGGAATTTTTGATGGAATTGAGCTTCAATGATTTGCAGTCGTCCAAATGTTCCTCATCCCTCACTACACGTACTGCATTCATTGTTAACATACATAAATACAAATGTGTCTTAAAAAGACAGACAGCCCAACAGTAGACTCTTTTCATGGCAACAGAGAGAGAGGCGGAAGGCTTTGCCTACTGCAGCTTGAGCTTCATGTTACCTTATATTAGCTATTCGCTAGTAGTGGGTGGTGGTCAAGATGATTCATAAGATTTGAAGTGGTGCCCCCTTTCACAGTGATGTTCTGCAGACAGTTTCATCAGGTTTTCCTGAGCACTCTTATAAAATATACGACCAGACTCGTTGTTGCTGCCTTCCGCCATGTTTTCCTTGACGCGAAACTAACCCACGTTGCATGCTGTCTTCGTGCCTGCGTCCAGGAGACTGTTGCTAATTTTGGCTGATGCCTGAAAGTCTTTAATGTAAGGTTATTAAATACACTTCCTCCCATTTGTTTCATTTTACTAATCAAGTGTTTTGGGTTTTTTTTTAGTGTCCCAGCAAAAACAACACAAGCTCTGTAACTTTAATGGCTGAAGACAGGCCTCGACGGTATAGAAACAGGCCTCGACGGTATAAAAACAGGCCTCGACGGTATAAAATGGTAAACAATCAATCTTCTCACAAACCCCTTGCAGTCCCTCTTTTGATCTTACTTTCCCTTTCATCTGGGATTGAAACCCTCAACACCTATGAAATGATTTTCTCTGACAGTTCTCCTTAGTGCTTTTCACCAGTATTTATCCTGATTAGTAAACTGACTCAATGTTTCAGTGATTAAATCTTTTTTTGTCCATCCAGGTTCAGGATGATTTTACAGATGACACTTTTTCTTCACATGCCTATCTTTTTGATGATCCAACTTTCAACATGGAGGACTTTGTCACTGTTGATGAAGTTGGTGATGACGTAGAAGACACAAGCCTTGAGCCTCATAGCTCTTCCTCGTCCTCCTCCAGAGCAAGAGGAAAGAGGCAAAAGTCATCTGGTAACAGGCAGACCCCAAAAAGGTATTCAAAATATTCTAAGGGCTCAGCTTCGTCCTCATCCTCCACAAAGTTGAATAGAGGCTCAAGCTCTTCTAATTCAAACTCTGTGTCACGAAAAAAGTCCACGGACTTATCGGAGTCCATCAAATCTCCTACCAAACCCTGGTCCTTTGCCAGTGTCAGTAAGCCCTCCTCCTCTTCTTCTACACTGTCTATTAAAATCCCTTCCTCTCCTGGTCAGAAAGCACAACAGAACAAGACAAAATCCCCATCCAAACCATCAAATTCTCCATCCTCCAGTTGTAGTACTCGCTCGTCCTACGCTGCGCATGAAAGGGAAACGATAACATCAGCAGTAACTGTTGAAGTATCAAAAGAGACTAATCCAGAGCCATTTAGAAAAGAAGCAAAAGCCACAGAGGGCGCAGTGCCGATGTTTGACCACAAAGTGTTAGCCGAGGGCACTGCTGCAAAGACGGAGACAAAAATAGAAACATCATCAGAGCTGCATCCACCTTCACAGGGAGAAGGGTTTGAGTTGAGTCAAGCCCAGAGTCTGGAGATTGATGTTAATGTCAACACACTCAAAGACCAGAAGACAAGCAAAGAAGAAGAAGATGATGTTGACAAACATACACAGGAGGAGGATAGTGAAAACTATCAAATCCTTGATTCACTCGATGATCAAATGGATGAACAGATTAATGACTTGGACAGCGTCAACGATAAAGGCAAAGCCTGCCCAGAGGAGTTGGTTGGTTCTTTTGAAGACAGTGTTACCAAAGAACAAGCAGCTACAAGTCAAGAGGACAGTCTCCTGGTGCAAGATGGCGGTTCCACAGTGAAACAACTGTCTGAGGAAGATGCAGTTCCAGTAGTCGACAAATCTGATGATGCAGTTATAGATCAGGAGACAAATAAAGATAATTTTCAAGTGTTGGATACAGGTAGGAAACAAGCTTCAATGGGCAACAATGATGGGAAGACAAAAGAAAAAGAAGAGAAGGACAAAGGGGAAATGCTTTCAGCTGAATCCTGCAATGATCATGATGACCAAATCCCAAATGAAGAACAGACTCTTCAAGACCGTGATGATAGTTGTACTGAACAAGAAACCTTTGAAATATTGGATTCAATTGATGACCAGACTGAAACAGAAGAGGGCATCCCAAAACTTAGGTCCACAGAGGAAGAGGAATGTACATATCAGGTAATTGATTCTTTGGAAGATCAGCCAATGACCACAGAGTCAGAGACAGACAACATGGAAAGAAGGGCCATGAAACGGGGGGCGACTACTCGAAAAGATGATGGACTATCCAAGAGGAGTGGCCCTAAAACCACATCCAAAAGTGAGATATCACCAAAGAAACAGGACAGGACGGTTAAAAAGTATGAGACACAGACAAAGAGAGACACTACTGCAGGATTTTCTAAAAAAGACAAAGAGACCACTGAGGAGATGGTGTATAAGATAGTGGATTCTGTTAATGATGAACTGGTTCAAGATTCTGCCACCACAGAAACTTCTGGTAGAAGGAGGAGTGCAAGAGGAAAAAAAGAGGATAGAATTACATTGAATCTGAAAGAAGCATCTGAAAAACCTGTCAGGGACGAGGAGGACACATATGAGATTTTAGATTCCGTGGAGGACGAGACTGAAGAACCAACCGTAAGATCTACCAGAGGAAAACGGGAAAGAACAGTTTATAAAGATGCTTCGAAAGAAAAAACGCCAACAAGAAGGAGGCACACTCCTGCCAGAGAGTCACAGGAACTAAACAAGGAAACAACACCAAAGAAAGAGGAGAAAGCCCCTCCAAAAGAGAGCTCACCAACAAAAAAGAGTGACATTGTAAGAGAGGTAAGTGAGGAGGATGCTACCTATGAAATACTGGACTCTGTGCAGGACAAGGTTGTCAAGGTTGATCGGCCCGCTGGACGACACAAGGTTAAAAGGGGAAGACCAAGGAAAGCGGTTAGAACAACTAAAAATGACAATCTAACACTGAAGAAAGTTGCATCTGAAAAAATGGCTGAAGAAGAAGAGGAGGAGACATATCAGATTCTCGATTCTGTGGAGGACAGCGGATCTCTAGCAGGATCAGCCAAGAATGAGGAGGAGGAAGAGCCTGTGTATCAGATCGTAGATTCTCTGGAAGACGATCAAGAAGAGCTGACGGCCACAGAGGTTTCTGACAAAGGGAGGAAGGGCAACACTAATGAAACACCAACATGTGATAGGACAACTGTGGAAATGTCTGAAAAAGTGGTCGTCAAGAAGAAGCTGGTTGATGGTTTCCAGGAGGTACAAGATGATCCATCTGCAGGAGGATCTGGTACGAGAATAGATAACCCTAACCTGGACCAAGTGAGCGAGGAGGAGGAGGATTACCCTGACGACACAGCTGAGGAGGAAGAACTGAGGAAGAGACAAGCCGCCACAAAAGAGAGGCAGTTAGCCAAGGAGCGAGAAGCAAAGAGGACAAGGGAAAAGGAGGAGAGGAGGACCAGGGAGCAAAGGAGTCGGAGCAGCAGCAGCAGCAAAGGAGGAGGTAACAAGGGAAGGACGAAGAGGGGAAATGAGGAGGTGGAGGTAGACACCAAGGAGCTGGTGACTCTGGATGAGGTCGGAGCAGATGAGGCCGGAGAGGAAAGAGCGTGGGAGATCACGGAGGGAGAGCTGCAGACACTCGTCACTCTGGATGAGTTCGTAGAAGAAGAGGAGGACGGAAAGGCTGAGCAAAGCACGCCGGAGACCCGCCCACTCCACCAGGAGGACGAATCAGAGGACTCCTTGAACCCAGAGGTAAAGATTGAGATTGGAACAATACGGTGAATCCCTGTAAAACAGAGAGAACCACTGATTCTAAAGATCTCCTTTGTCTCTTTTTAGACTTTGGTGACTTTAGATGAAGCTGGCAATGATGAGGAAGAGCAGCCGTACGAAGAACAAGCTGAGAAAACATCAAGATCTGCTAAACGCAAACACGATGACGACACAGGTGTGTGTTATTCTGTCAGTACACAGTATAGTATACTTACACAGGTATATTTTACCCTCAAGAGAACTATTGATTGTCTCCATTTAACTGTGATTTCAAACCAAAAGACCCTTTTACCTGCAGATATTTTGTCTTGTGAAAGCAGGAAAAGGACAGTGCGTAAACAATATTAATGGATCCATTTCATTAAATATCCCAGTAAGCCATTATTATATGATCCACCTGAGCTTTTCCTGCTTTGACGAGTCAAAATCTCTGCTGTCTAAAGGATCTATTGGCTGCACCATTGAGTATTTATTATAGATCTATGTAACTAAAGTTACATGCACTGTCCCCTTTACAACCCTCCAAAATAAGAGCCTCCTCTCCCAACCTTGGTGTCAATTAAAATGTTCCTTTTATTTCTCTAAAAAATTTCTACAGAAAATTGTAAAATGGTTTGTGTGAAACTTTGGAGGTTTTTTGTCCTGTCTTAGCGGAAACTATGAACTTTGTGACGGTTGATGAGGTGGGAGAGGTGGAAGAGGAGGAGGAAAAGGAAGTAACAACCAGGACAAGAAGCCAAGCAAGGAAGAGAACCAGACAAACCCCCGGTAACACACCCATCTATACCTTTTTTATATAATCATGTAAAATCTCTAGACACTCAAACAGCAATATTTGGCTTCACTGTTTTTCTATGATGGAGCTCTAAACCTGGAAACGTTATTAATATTTGTATTTTACAGTTTCCTTCATTCATTCAATTCATTGTCTTTTATTACAGTAAGAAAATCTTCCAGAGGGAAAAAAGTGAGCGCCACAGACGAGAGAGAAGTTGACGTACTGCCTCCCACTTCACTCGATGCCTCCTCGTCATTGGACAAAGATCCGTCTACGTTGTCGAGCTGCGACCAGCCGAAGGTCCAGAAGACTGAGACTGAGGAGGAAGCAGCGAGCCAAGCTGACAGTGATGCTGCCTCTGCTGAGAACCAAACACTGGAGGGAGGTGTGGAGGAAGGAGAGGAGGAGAAGCAGAGAAGGAAGGACATTAACGGTACAGAGAGCTGATAGGACAGATGGACTACGGTTATTTATGTACAAACAGACATTTTATGCTTCTGTTTTAGTGTACTATCCACACTGAGCTGATATTTTATGAATGTTTCTCTTCTTTAGTTGTGAGTAAAGAGAGGAGGGAACTTGTCGGACCCGAAGCAAAGAGATCTCGTTCTCAGTCTCCTTCTGTCCCTGCTGACCTCAAACTGCCGACATTCAAACCCAACAACCCCCTCGGTGAGACACACTAACACACTCCTATTTTATCTGAAAACTACACAAGATGTAAATGTTTCATCACTTTTTTTCCTCCTGTTTCTGCAGGTGAGGAGTTCATGGTCCCTTTATCTGGGTTCTTCTGTAACCTCTGCTCTGTTTTCTACGAGAGCACAGCCAAGGACCTCCACTGCAGCAGCCAGATGCACTACGACAACCTGCAGGTACACACAGACACATACACAACATTTAAACACACTAAAACACTCACTTGTCCTCACATTGTTTGTGTTCTTTCTTTCTTTTAGAGACATTATCAGAAGCTTGAACAGAAACCATCAACGAGTTCAACGTGAAGTTCTGAAGACTGTTTCTGAGTTTTATTTATTCTTATTGTTACAAAGTGAAGCTGGGTGAGTGAAACATCTGCAGCTTTACAGTTGTGGTGCCTTTCTCCCGCCACAGTTACGCTGCATCATTCATGTTCCGGAGGAAACACGAGCCGAGTTTTACTACGAAGTCGGTAACGGTTACATATTAGAGTTTATAGCTTTAAAAAAACTATAGCTACATGACCTCTTTTAGTAGTTTGAATCACCACCAACAGGAAGAGTAGTAGGAGTGTCAATAGCATCGGACCTTTTAACAAACAAATCTAATATTTCTATCATGTTTTCTACATCGTTTTTGTTTATTTCAGGTCTTAATGTCGTCTTTTGTCCCCTTTCTCTGCTCTTGGTTCAGTCAGTCCCTTCAGGACATTTGCATCGCAACATTTCCACAAATCTGAGCAATCAAATTGCTAGCGATTATTTTATATTTTTAGAGACTATTTTATTCTAAGTTGCCTTAAATTTTTTATGACACACAAAAATTGCTTTTCTTTTATAGAAAAGCTGCTGTGTCATTTTATGTATCTTAACAATTAGGTTTCTGATGCAGCACCTTTTGAAGGATGAACATATTAACTTGTTTTTAAAAGTGTAGAAATCAAACTGAGAATTTAATCTTGTACATGATGTAAAAAGGTCTGACGAGCGTGGGTCACTGTAATGTTACAATGTGAGAGCGAACAAACACTTTTATTGTTCATAAACAATCATTCACTGAACATAAACTCTGTGATGTTTGACTGTAACAGTTTGATTTTATTTATTTTTCTGAACTTTTTTTTTTTTTTACCAAATGTTTCTTAATTTGTATTTAAGCTGTTTCTGTTGTACAATTTGTTCAGTTTCTATAAAACTAAATAAAAGCTGAGTGTCTCACGTGGTTTCTGATTACTCTTCATTCACAGTGGGATTAAAATACATTTGAACTGTTTTTAAAATCAGTTCAGAGCTTAATGTTTGTGTTACAGGTGAGAGGCTGAGTACAACCCTCAACCTGTCAGTGTAAACCTTTACATTACTACTACCATACGTCCTGCTACTGTATATACTGTTGGGTCCTTTAACCTCTTTTTTCAGTCAAGTACTCCGTGACCAAGGAAAGACATTTTTTGGTAGAAATAAAAAAAATATACAGTCCATATATAAATATTATATATTTATTAACTGTAAAAGCAAACTTTTTAACCTCTGGCTTTTAATTGATTTGAACTTATTTCTCCATTTATATTATTTGTATCTGTTCTATCGATTTTTCCTACTTATACATTTGAATCCTTATTACTCTGTTTACCTTGTGTATTTATTTATTCATTCATTTTAATCTGATATTACTTTATTTATCTATTTTCTACGTCGGACTCAGTTGTATTTAGAATATCCTTTGTAATTCCAGCTTCAGTGTTTCCTCACTCACTGTTTTTGTAGATTAAGTCTGGGTTGGTTTTGGGATTACAAATTCAATTTAAGACTTCCTAAAACCTTTTAATATAATACCTATTTAAAAGATAATTAACAACAGACAATAAATGTTATGTACATTTACCTTTTCTCTGACAGCAGTGGTTTCCAATGTTCCTCCTTTCTTTAAAACACCTACATGTGCACACAAATGTCTTTGCAGTAGAACATCAGGGCCCTCAAACTCTGCAGCTGATACAACCTTCCTGGTTACTCATAAAAGGTTAAATATAATCTCCAACATTAAAGGAATTATCTTCCATCAGTGCGACCACTTACATCCTGACAGTCATTGATCCTACGTGTCTAAAGCACACGGGAGGTTTTATTCTGGGCTGAGGGTGGAGTGCCTGCTACTGAGGGTTTTACTGCTGTTATATATTTCACACATATGCATAACTTAGTTTTTTAAGCGATCAATATTGGGCAGTAAGGCATTACTAGTAATATAACTTTTTACTATTTTAACTCAAATTGTTGAAACCAATTAAATAAGTAATACAAACTCAGTTTTGTAAGTTAAAAATAATTCTCGATTAAGAAGCTTTTATTAGTTATTTTAACTTGATCAGGAATTTTAGTAAAAAAAAAAATCTGAAAAAAGTTGAATTAAATAAACATATCTAACATCTAACTATAGAAACAAGATAAACTGGGTCACACTGCGACAGCCTTCTGGTCAATTCCTTTTTTTCACTTTATGAAAGGATTGACAAAAAATATTGATTTTGTAATTGAATTTTTTTTAGCTGCACATGAAGGTTAATTTCCATTTTTAACAGATTAATGTGTTGAATTTGACACCAAACAGGGGTTTTAGCTGGAGGAACCAATCTTTGTCCCTCAGTAGTAGAGTAACATCTAACATATTATAGAATTATAGAAAACAAAGACACCTTACCAAAGCGTTGGTGAAGCCTGAGAGGATGAAAAGATCAGGACAAATTATCTTATATCAAGTATCTATTCACCAAATCATTGTCTAAGAGCTAAAAGCTCGGAGGTAGATACCAAACAGTGTACAGTACAAACAGAAATAAAAGGGACGAGCCCCCAATCCACATTTCTTTTCCCTTTATACAGTGAAGCTGTGAGTGTCCACTGGTTGCTTTATCCTCCAAAACAAATGGCTAAACACACTGAATAAAGCAGTTCCACCTTAAAAATCACTGCTTCTTCCACGTTGTTGGACAGACAAAGGACGTCCCGGAGGTGCTGCGAGTCGAGCTGCTGCTAAAGTTAGCTCAGCTCGTTTCTCTGATAACTTAAGATCCAGACGTCTGATGACTAAAATCCTTCATCCGGTTCAAATCTAGAGTTAAAAAGCACCAAGATCTAAACAGTGGATGGTAAAAATGTGGCTGCAGACTGGATAAAAAGTAAATTTATGACGCTATGGACAAACATTTCTCTGAGTTTGAACATTGTTAGAAACATTTCGGGCTTCAACTCCACTGTTGGTACCCAACAGGACATTTATCCATCCATCTTTAATGCAAAAACAACACAAGGACAAACTCAATGCACAGGTTTTAGTTTATTTATAGAAACAGAACAAAGCAAATTACAACAGAAGTCAGTCAACGTACTTTGTTGACCCTTTTTCAAAACAATAACAAATCGTCTTCACATTGTCACATCGATAGTGTTTGTCCAGAAAACACCCTCATATATTTAGATTGTCATTAATTAATGAGGCAAGGCTTCATTTATACAATTTGTTTGAGTTAATTAATTAAGCTCCCACAGTAACAGTTCATCCCTCAGAAAGGTGATACATGCTCCATCCAAAATGTCAAGAAAATGATGATACAATAAGATTTGTATGAGCTAAATGAGAGCAGGGTGAAGATCTATCTCCCTACTGTGAGAAACAGAAAATTAAATAGTGTTAATAGATTTATTTTACATCACCAGAGTTGCTTCCTGTTCTGCCATCCTTCCCTGAAGAGTATAAACGCGATGAAATTTATATTTTTTAAACCATCTTCCATTAGGGGTTAATGGTTCAAATCATCACTCGAGAAGACCTGACTCACATTATGTCAGTAGAATATTTTTTTAAGCAGCGTCACCATAAGTTTCCACCACAGGAAACATTTTTATACGCAGGAAAGGAACAAATAGTCAAATCTTCATTTAGTAAAATCCAGTTTGACTGACAATGCTGACAAGAACTGGAGTAACAGCGCCCTCTTCCTGTTCTGTGAAGTAAACCGGTCGAGCAGATGTCTTTACAAATCTGAGCTGTAGACAAGTTTAATCTAAATTTAACTCTTAAAGAAAATGTGAATTAACTCCATCCACTTGCATTTCTGTTTTTTTTGACTGATGCTAAATATTTATTATTGTTATGATATAATTTTAAATCCTTTACATGAAAAAATTTGATTATTTTCTGAGCTATTAAGACCAACGTGGTTTATTTTACACACTGATTTGTCACATAAAGTTTCTGCAGCGGTGAGAAAAGCTTGTCCAGCTTAATCTGATTTAAATTTTTCACAAAAATAAATGAGAATCAGTGAATAAAGTCGGGATCAATCAGAGACGGAGCCTTGATAGCTTTGTGCTGAACCTGTCGACGGTTTCTGTTCGAGCTTCTGATAATGTTTCTGTAAAAAAAAAGTGGGAGAACAGACAATGAGAGGCTAACAGTGTGTTTTGTTGAGAGAAATAAAAACCAAGTTCTTGGTGTTAGTCTCTCCTCTGAAAAGACAACTTCACATCTAAAAAAAAGGTATAGTTTAACATTTTTAGTGTAACTAATTCTGTTCCAGACAATGTATCTTTGTGTCACAGGTGCTGTCTTTATTAAAAGGGACAGGCTTAATTTTGCTACAGTTGAAATGTTGTGTGTTGTGTATGTGTCTGTGTGTACCTGCAGGTTGTCGTAGTGTCTCTGGCTGCTGCAGTGGAGGTCCTTGGCGGTGGTCTCGTTCAGGTAGAAAACAGAGCAGAGGTTGCAGAAGAACCCGGGGACCACAAACTCCCGACCTGAAGAGGGAGACAGTGACAGTTACAGGAGGAGAAAGTGATGAAACATTTGCATCTTGTGTCGCTTTCAGATAAAATAGGAGTGTGTTAGTGTGTCTCACCGAGGGGGTTGTTGGGTTTGAATGCCGGCAGTTTGAGATCAGCAGCGACAGAAGGAGACTGAGAACGAGATCTCTTTGCCTCGGGTCCGACAAGTTCCCTCCTCTGTTTACTCACAACTAAAGAAACAACAATCCATAAAATATCAGCTCAGTGTGGACAGTACACTAAAACTGAAGCATAAAATGTCTGTTAGTGCATAAATGGCCTTAGTCCGTCTGTCTTTCAGCTCTCTGTACCTTTAATGTCCGCCCTGCTCCATCCTTCCTTCTCCTCCTCTCCTTCCTCCACGCCTCCCTCCAGTGTTTGGTTCTCAGGGCGCTCTGGCTGCAGCTCCTGCCCAGCAGAGGCAGCATCTGTGTGGGCTTGGCTCGCTGCTTCCTCCTCAGTCTCAGTCTTCTGGACCTTCGGCTGGTCGCAGCTCGACAACGTAGACGGATCTTTGTCCAATGACGAGGAGGCATCGAGTGAAGTGGGAGGCAGTACGTCAGTTTCTTCTCTCTCTTCTTTTGTGCTTACTTTTTTCCCTCTGGTTGATCTTCTCACTGTGGCAAAAGACAATTATTGATTCAATCTTAAGTTCTCCATCACTGAAAAACAGTGAAGCCAAATATTGCTGTTTGAGTATCTAGAGATTTTACATGATTATATAAAAATGTATAGATGTCTGTGTTACCGGAGGTTTGTGTGGTTCTCTTCTTGGCTCGGCCTCTTGTCCTGGTTGTTATTTCTTTTGCCTCCTCCTCTTCCACCTCTCCCACTTCATCAACCGTCACAAAGTTCATAGTTTCCTCTAAGACAGGACAAATAAATTAAAGTTTCGGACAAACATCAACACAGAAACCTTTTTACAAACAACAAGCAACAAACAATTTTACACAAGACAAAATATCTGCAGGTAAAAGGGTCCTTTGGTTTGAAATCACAGTTAAATGGAGACAATCAATGGTTCTCTTGAGGGTAAAATATACCTGTGTAAGTATACTATACTGTGTACTGACAGAATAACACACACCTGTGTCGTCATCGTGTTTGCGTTTAGCAGATCTTGATGTTTTCTCAGCTTGTTCTTCGTGCGGCTGCTCTTCCTCATCATTGCCAGCTTCATCTAAAGTCACCAAAGTCTAAAAAGAGACAAATGAGATCTTTAGTATCAGTGGTTCTCTCTGTTTTACAGGGATTCACCGTATTGTTCCAATCTCAATCTTAACCTCTGGGTTCAAGGAGTCCTCTGATTCGTCCTCCTGGTGGAGTGGGCGGGTCTCCGGCATGCTTTGCTCAGCCTTTCCGTCCTCCTCTTCTTCTACGAACTCATCCAGAGTGACGAGTGTCTGCAGCTCTCCCTCCGTGATCTCCCACGCTCTTTCCTCTCCGGCCTCATCTGCTCCGACCTCATCCAGAGTCACCAGCTCCTTGGTGTCTACCTCCACCTCCTCATTTCCCCTCCTCGTCCTTCCCTTGTCACATCCTCCTCTGCTGCTGCTGCTGCTCCGACTCCTTTGCTCCCTGGTCCTCCTCTCCTCCTTTTCCCTTGTCCTCTTTGCTTCTCGCTCCTTGGCTAACTGCCTCTCTTTTGTGGCGGCTTGTCTCTTCCTCAGTTCTTCCTCCTCTGCCGTGTCATCAGGGTAATCCTCCTCCTCCTCGCTCACTTCGTCCAGGTTCACCAGAGGGCTTGTTGCGTCGTTTTTCTTGGGAGATTTTTGTTTCTTCTCCTTTTCCGGTGTCTCAGTATCACTTTGGGACTTGGTTGTTGATTTGTTGACGACAACTTTTTCAGACACTTCCACAACGGTGCGATCACGTGTTGGTGTGTCTTCCAGAGAATCTACGATCTCATACACGGGCTCTTCCTCCTCCTCAAACTTGGGTGATCCTGCGAGAGATTCGCTGTTCTTGGTTTTCATGTCATCCTTTTTAGAAATGTGCTCTTTTCTTGAACTCTCAGATTGTCGTGTGAGGGACTGATCATCAACCGTCTCGTCCTCCACAGAATCAAGAATCTGATACATCTCCTCTTCTTCACCAGCCACATTTTTGGATTTTTCTTTGTCAACTTTCTTTATTGTTATGCTTTCTTTTTAGTTGTTCTAACCTCTTTCTTTGGTCTTCCCCTCTTACCTTTTCTTGCTGCAGCGGGCCGATCATCCTTTACAACCTCGTCCTCCACAGAGTCCATTATCTCACAGGGAGCATCCGCCTCACTTAGCTCTCTAACAACATCCCTCTTCTTTGTTGGTGAGCTCTCTTTTGGAGGGGCTTTCTCCTCTTTCTTTGGTGTTGGTTCCTTGTTTAGTTCCTGTGACTCTCTGGCAGGAGTGTGCCTCCTTCTTGTTGGCGTTTCCTCTTTTTTTGTTTTCTCAGATGTTTGTGGGAGATTCGATGTAACTTTATCCTCTTTTTTTCCTCTTGCACTCCTTCTTCTACCAGATGTTTCTGTGGTGGCAGCCTCTTGAACCGGTTCGTCTTCAACAGAATCTACAATCTCAAACACCATCTCCTCAGTTGTCTCTTTGATCTCTTTGCAGACTCCTGTAGTGGAGTACGTCTTTGTCCATGTCTCATACTTTTTAACCGGCCTGTCCTGTTTCCGTGCTTGTTTCCTACCTGTATCCAACACTTGGAAATTATCTTTATTTGTCTCCTGATCTTTAACTGCATCATCAGTTTTGTCGACTACTGGAACTGCATCTTCCTTAGATAGTTGCTTCACTGTGGAACCGCCATCTTGGACCAGGTGACTGTCATCTTGACTTGTAGCTGCTTGTTCTTTGGTAACACTGTCTTCAAAAGAACCAACCAACTCCTCTGGGCGGGCTTTGCCTTTATCGTTGACGCTGTCCAAGTCATTTATCTGTTCATCCATTTGATCATCGAGTGAATCAAGGATTTGATAGTTTTCACCATCCTCCTCATCTGTGTGCTTATCATCTTCTTCTTTCCCTTTCTCTTTGCTTTTCTTCTGGTCTTCGAGTGTGTTGATATTAACATCAATCTCCAGACTCTGGGCTTGACTCAACTCTGACCCATGTCCTTGTTGAGGTGGATGCATCTCTGACGTTTCCATTTTTGTCTCAGACGCAACAGTTTTTGCACCAATGCCCTGTGTAACTGTAACTTTGTGGTCAGACAGTGGAGAAGAAGAAGAGTGCTTACTGTCACTGGCAGAGGACGAGGGTTTGGTAGGGGATCTGGTGGGCTCAGATAACTCTGTGGACTTTAGTGGTGACACAGAGTCTTTCTTACTTGTTCTTTCCCATTTTCCTCTGGTAGATCTTGTTGTGACGGTTGCTTCATTATCTGCAGTCTCGTCTTCCACAGAATCTAAAATCTCATATGTATCCTCCTCATCCCTGACGAGTTTTTCAGACGCTTCAGTCAGATTCAATGACATTTTATCGTCTTTCTTTCCTCTTGCACTCCTCCTTCTACCAGACTTTTCTGCGGTGGTGGAATCTTGAACCGGTTGGTCTTCAACAGAATCTACTATCTCAAACACCATCTCCTCAGTTTTAACCGTCCTGTCCTGTTTCTTTGGTGATTTCTCCTCTTCACTTTTGGATGTTGTGGTTGTGGAGCCACTCCTTTTCGATCTATCATCTTTTCTAGCAGTCCCTTCCCGTTGCTTGGTCCTTTTTTCCTTGTTGTCTGACTCTGACTCTGTAATTGTTGGCTGATCTAACTGGTCACTGGAAGTTTCAGTTTCATGTTCTGTTGCAGTCTGGTCTTCAAGTGAGTCCAATATTTCAAATGCTTCTTGTTCAGTAACATCACAGTCAGGGTCTTTTAAAGTGCATTCGTTGTGACAGTCTTGAGGAGGCTGGTCTATTTTTGTTTCTGACTCAACAGTTTTTGCAGCAGTGCCCTTTGCTGACAGTTTGTGGTCAGACTTTGCCACTGTGCCCCCTGTGGCTTTTGCTTCTTTTCTAAGTGGCTCCAGGTGAGTATCCACTGATGCCGCAACAGATGTTTCTGATCTAATCTTTTCCCTTTCACGTGCAACGGAGGACGAACGGGTACTACGAACGGAGGACACATTATTTGACGCTTTGGATGGAGATTTTATCTTGCTCTGTTGTACTTTCTGACTGGGGGAGGAAGAGGTTTCAGTAGAGAATGGAGAAAAAGAGGAGGGCTTCCTGACATTGGAAGAGGGTTTGGTAGGGGATTTGGTGGGCTCAGCTGAGTCCTTTGACCGTTTTGGTGACACAGAGGTTGATTTAGAAGTGCTTGAGCCTTTAGTTGACTTGGACGATGAGGATGAGCTCCTAGAATCTCTCAAAGACCTTGTTGAGGCCTGTTTGTCACCAGCCAACACACTTGAGCTTTGCCTTTCTCTTCTTGCTATGGAGGAGGATGAGGAGGTGCTACAAGGCTCGGGGGTTGTGTCTTCTACATCATCCCCAACTTCATCAACAGTGACGAAGTCCTCCATGTTGAAATTTTGCTCATCGAAAAGATAGGCATCTGAAGAAAAAGTGTCAGCTGTAAAATCATCCTGAGGCTCCTAGGACAAAGAAATGTAATCAGTATAAAAAAGGCAGTTAGGTGGTTGTTAAACTATTAGTTTATTGCATACATTTGTTTAATTAACGAGGAGTTGTGAAAAGGAATGGGGAGAACTGTCAGAGAAAAAATCAGGGTTGAGGTTCTAATTATCTGCTGAAACAGAAGGGTAAAATAAGGCATAAAGAAGTGCTGCATTTACCGTTCTTTGAGGTCTATTTTCAGCCGTTGCAGTTGCAGAGCTTGTGTTATTTTTGCTGAGGCTCTAAAAACACAAAACAGTTTTCCGGAATAACTGACATGCAAATAAAATCTGAACTGCATTTAACTTGAAATTTTTGCAAGACACAGTTTTGCCAAATGTAATCATGTTGAGTGAGATTTGAAACGAGGCCTCACCTCGTTCTCCTGACTCTGGGACCTGCTACTTTGTGCAAATTTGTGCTGGCGAACTGCTGCCGTGAGGGCCTTGACAATGTCGGTGTTAATCTCAGGAAGTTCTGCAAACTTTTCTTCAGGCATGAACGCTGTGGCTGAAGCAGTAGAGCTGGAAGCAGCAGGGACTGTGTTTCCACTGTCGCCTGCAGAGGTCACATCAGCAGGAGCAATTGAAGTTATTTGTGATCCCTCTTCCTTCTTTACTTCTACTTTCTCTACAGCTTCATTTGCCTCAGGACTGATAGTGGAATCCATGGCGATCTCAGTTGCTGGTTTCTCACCATCCTCCTCCATTTCTACATCGTATGTGGTGGTAACATTTGCTCCTTCTGTGATTGGCTCAGAATTGGCGGCTCCACCAAGGCCACTGGCTTGCAGAGCAGGTTGTGACTCATTATCCGAAGGTTCAGATGAAGGAGGCTGGGTTTGACCTTTCGCGGCTGGGGGCTTGGGCACGACATTGATGGTGTAGCTTTCAAAGTTTATTGTGATCTCTCTGGAATCATCTAGACGCTGTTTAAGGCTCTTCAAACTAAAATGAGTAACAGAAAAGGAAATACAAGTTAATTGTCCAGCCATCTATATCAGCAACTTTTCTTGTCCTGTAAAACCTTTAGGGCCGCAAGTAACAATTATTTTCATTATCAATCCATCTGCAGACCATTTTCTCAATGAATTGATTATTTTGTGTCAGTAAAATAGTGAAATTCTCTGTTCAACATTTCCCTTGTTAAATCCTTGTTGAAATCCTTGATGCGTTTCCAAAAACCAAGCATATTTAGACTTGCTGGTTTCCTCACATTGGAGAAGCACACATTAGTGTTTTTATATCAAAATCCCTATTGTCTCTTAACCGTGTTTCCAAAAACCAAGCATATTTAGTTTACAATGATTTAAAAGCAGAAAACTTGCTGGTTTCCTCACACTGGAGTAGCTGTAAACGGAGAATGTTTTGGCATTTTTGCTTTACAAATTGCTTAAATGATTAAAAACATATTTGCCCATTCATTTTCAGTCAATTGACTAATCAACTAATCTAATCTTGAACTCAAATGGGACTTGGGGCCACCAGCTATCTTATAAAAAAAAATACACTCATCACAATGATTACTTTCATACTTTTGGTAACTTAAACATGTCTCTGATATACTCACGTTTCAAAACGCTGAACTTTACTCCTGCAGAGAGAAAAAGAAGAAAGTGTTGAGTTTAAGTGTGATAACACATACAGGGGTGACCTGCTTTCATAACAACTGTGTGCTGAAACTACATATTACAAAACTAATTTAACCCCATTTTAACCCCATTATTACTCCAAACACATGCATACCAAGTTGTGCGCTTTTTAAAGGAGTCCGGTGAGAAGGTTTTGTATTTCTCCACCACCTGCGTTACACCGCTGGAGTCAGCCATCTCAATGCAGATCTAAGTGGAAAGACAGATGAAGGAAGTGACGGGACAGAAGCAACAAACAGAAAGCAACAACCCATAAGAATCCATTATATAGGAAGTTACATACATAGTGTAACATTTGACACTTTCTACAGACAGATGTTTCCATCGCAGCAAGAGTTAAAAACTGTCCAGTGTCTTGTCATATTTGTGTTACTTTTTGGTCAACACTGGCACTAGAATCCAAAAAGTTTAAATGATCAGTAAATCTAATGGTTTTCAGAATAGCTGTAATATAATCCACATACAACATTTCTATAATGTTACCCAAAAAGTCTGACATTTTAAGTCCTTTTTAATACAACACAGATTTAAATTTAATACACATTTAATGGTCATATTGGTCAAAGAATGGCAAGTCTACAAAAAGGGTTCAACAGCCTCCAACATGCACAATATATAACATCTCCTGATAGCCCGCAATCACATACAAAAAAGTTAAAACTATTATTATATAAATTTTATGTGCCTATTGAAGTAAAGAATACATATTTAAGACCTTTTTTAATTAAGTTTAAGACGTTTAAATACCCTTCTAAAGCTTCTAAGAATTTTCAAGACTCTGCAGATAGACTGACACAGCGGCTCTCCCAACATTTAAAAATGTAAGAAGTGCAGGTGTTTGTGTTCTTGTACCCTGTTGGCGAGCGGCAGGAAGCCGACAAAGGTCGCGATGGACGACACCACTTCCATGACCATCCTGACGATGTCCACAGACGTTTCAGAAATCTCCACACACAGCAACCGCTCCTCCAGTGACTTTAGCTCAGGAACTCCCTGAAGAGCCAGAAACAGTTGGTGGTGAGACCCAGAGATAAAAAATATATCAGCTTACATTTAACTAAAGATTCACATAAATGACTGAAATAATGAATAATACTCTAATTATTATTATTATTAATAATAATTATAATAATAATAATAATATAATAATAAAATAATACATTTTATTTTTAAGCACTTTTCTAAATACTCAAAGACACTAAATGTCTTTGAGTATTTAGAAAAGTGAAGTAAATAAAAACATAAAAGCAGCAAAATAACATCAAATAGTAAAACACTAAAAACACAGACTAAGCTAAACATTAAAAGTAATTTTAAAAAGGTGAGTTTTTGTCAGAGATTTGAATGTTGGAAGGTCGGTACAGTCACTGATGTAATGACTTACAGCGTTGCTCCACTTCATTAGATTTTTGTACATCATCTCCTGCAGAAAGATTATAAAGTCATGGATTGTCATAGATGATGTCAATACACATTTTAAATAACATTTAATTTTCATTCCCCCAAACAGCCCAACTTGTGTACTTGGAGATCTCCTCTAACAACACCTGTATATCTGTTATTATATCCCTCTGAACTTTCTACAGAAGAAATTAGCTATTTGTAGTATAAACTATTAATACAATTATGATAAAAGAAAGAGAAATTGCTCTTCATTCCTTTTTTAATTCTGAAAGTAGTTTTTTTCTATCCCATCATGATTCTGACACAGCAACACAGCCCAAAGTTCACCCTTTAGTGTCCATACCTCACTGGATTCAGGACTCAAGTCTTGCAAGACAAAGTGGACGCTGAGCATGCAGCCTTTGACTGACACCGGATTTATGATGTGATCTCGGACAAAATCACAGCACGTAGGCCAGTCGGCAAAATACACAAAGGCCTGGAGGTGAAGAGAGGACAGAGAGGAAAGGAACAACAATGAAACCCAGCTCCATTTCACTCAAAACTGTATTTATAATAATAGTTTTTGCTTGTTACGGTCTTCAGTTTCTACTCCTTACCCTCCTCTGCAGTGTTAAGACAACCACGTTGTAGTACAAGGCGTGAAGGTTCTGTTTGGGGAAATACCGCCAGACCAGCTTGGCCACTTCCTCCTGTGTGTAGTTTCCCTTTGGAAAACCCGTCATCATGATTGTGGGGAACATAGAACCGCGACCTCGGGCCTTCTAGAAAACACAAAGTTCAAAGCTCAAAGTTTAATTTGTGTGTTGACGCTGATGAGCAAAAGCACTGGTTGCTTCCTGAACCCCCGACAACACAGGAGTAAATAGATACAGTAAATTACATTTATGTTCTTTGTCTACAGAAAAATGCGTTCCTTAAATTATTTTTATTGTTATTATTATTATTATTATTATTATTATTATTATTATTATTACTACTACTACTACATCAGTTTAGATGGATGCCATTTGAATACAAAAATCAAAATTGGGTTGAGTTATATAGAGAAATGCGATTACCTCAATCTCGTCCTTCCCTCTGACGGTCAGGTGATCTTGGAGTTATAAATTAAACATTGAAACACATTGAGAACATTAACATGGTTAATTTGGCAGTATTAAACTATAATGTGAGACTAATGTCTCTCTCACCTGGGATGATGAACCAAGGAGACATGGTCGGGAAGAGGAAGGGACTAGTTTTTATCGTGACCCAAAAAGGAGCAATGCTGCCATGTGGAACGCCAAATTGTACTGGTGGGACAGTTGCCCCGGCAACAGCATCCTTGCTCTCCGGCAGAGCGTTCTCAGGAAGTTTCGGTGCTGCAGAAACGAAACACGAAAAAAAGTGTCACGTTGGAATACATCTGAGGAGTGACAAAACAATAAAGATGAGGGTTTTTGGTTGCATTTGTTTACTCATATTCCGCTCTTAATCTTATTTTTTATTACTGCTGTTTTTAATGTGCATGTTAAGCATTTTTTTTATGCTATACAAAGTAATTATTATAATAACACTAATAATTATTGTTATTATTGTCAGTAGTAGTAGTAATGATAACAATAGTATATTATATGATCGCTAATTATTTTCAACTTCTTTATTGACAAAATAGACAGTTTAAGGTCTTGTATGCAATTAGATGATGTTGATTAAACTTACAACACTGTTATCAGTAAATAATAATGTTGCATTTGTTAACCAGGACACAGTTGAGGAGATGTTGCTCTCTCTATCTTATCTCTTGATAACCTTTGTTTCAAATGTTACATTTTATATCATAGGTGTACGTTCTTTTCATTTCCTACAACAGAGACTTACGTAGTGATGTGGAGCTGCTGCTCGGTGTGTTCAGCCTCTGAACTTCATGTCCAGAGGCTCGTTTCAGGAGACTGTACCAAACGCCGAGCCGATCAGCATCGCGAACAGACTCAAATTCTATAAATACCTGGAACACACAAGCACACGCACCCAAACGTGACTTAACCGTTTCTTTTAAAGTGACTTACAGAAATGTATGTGTGCATTTATACCTTGTTGAGGAGAGGCAGGAAGTTCCTGACAAAACCGATTTTTTTCACTGCTTCTCTGAGGTCCCTGGTCTCACTCGGTGAGATGTTCTTGATGAAGATTGTTCTCGATCCGTCATCAATCACAGGCTGAATGAAGAACAGAAAGTGAACATTCAAAACAAAACATAAACAAGTGGACAGAGAGAGACACACACACACAGAACTGCAATGCATAGTTGCAATAAATAAATGTTGAATAGTTTTTCAAAGTAAAAGATAATATCTGGATCCTGAACACTGTTTTACATTAGTGTTGATAACGTCCAGCTTTTATTACATTAAATAATTTGGTGAGACAAACGCATGAAGTAAGAATTCTTAACTGAGACAAAAAGGGGGAGTTTTCACTTTGTAATGTATCTGAATGCACAAAGTTATATTCACAACCTCTTTTAAACTTTTTACCAACAAAATTTAAAGCAATTTAGAAATGAGGAATTAAGAGAGTGTGTGTGTGTTCATTACTTACAGACTGCATCACCCTCATCAATGATTTATAAAATCCAAACTAAAACAGAAACATCAGAGAAGGCATTGTTAGATACTTTTCCATAATACATCAGATTCACCTAATGTCAGTACACACTAGACTGTCTTTGTATGCACAGATATTTATATTAAATATTAAAATCTGTGCTTACCGGTGTCATTGTAATGCCGCTATCCACTACATGAAAACGGAGTATGGACCTTTTGAAACCAGTACGCTTTTTGGAGAATCTCAGTATTTCCAGGACAGCCTCCAGTGTCGGCACCCGGACGAAGGCCTAAGAGGAAAAACAGAAAGAACAATTTAATTCTCGTTTTGAGTCGCATATTACGTCTTTAAATGTGGTTAAAATCTCACACAGGCACCAACGATGTATATATCACAGCAGGAAAATGTCAAAAATATCATGATCAGTGATCCAAAAAATAAAACAGGGTTTCTGCAGGTTAAATTTAAGACTTTTAAGCACCATTATGAGGGAAATTTAAAAATGTTTTTTAAATGTCCACACTGACAAAAAAACATCCGGAGGTTGCACACTGGAGTTTTTAGGATTCTATGTTGCTACTGTAAAGTGGGCCCTGCTGGAGCTGGACTTTGGTGATGCTCCCGATGTGAATACATAACAATGAAGTGACGGCACGCATTTGCTGCTGCGACTCTAATTTAGATGTAAAGTTCAAACCAATGATAACCTGGTGCTTACCATGCATGCCTGAGGAACAACATAGAGGCTCTCATCTTCATGTTGAAATCCAAACGGCATGAGCAGTTTGGCAACGTCATCCTCTGTGTAGCAGCCATCGTAATATCTCGGCAGTTTGGTTATAAGCAACTGTTTCTTACCAAGTTTAAAAAACTGGAAAAACAAAGAAGAGAGGATTAATAATAATAATAATAATAATAAATAAGAATAAGAATAAGAATAAGTTCAGACAAGTGCACTTTATATCTCTTGTAACTTCTGTTCATTCTATATTATTATAAACACATTCATTTAATAGATTCAAACTCGATTATTTATTAAGGACATTTTAATGCCTATATGTGCATCACTTCATTCTGTTCTTGTTATACAACAAAACCCCTACTCTGGTATAATTAATATCTTCAGGAGAAGTGATTTGACCTACTCTTGGTGAGAAGCAGGTTTTCCGCTTAAGGCACGCTGTGAAAGAGAGAAAGAAAAATAGAAATTAAAAAAAAGAAACAACTGCAAAATTATGATCTCATGCAAACATTTATGACAGACAACCTCTATTTCTTGGATTTCTTACTTATTCTCTTTGGATCAAGGTACTTTTCCGCCATCTCTCCAATAGTCAGAGTGGTAACTGCAGTCGAGGACGACGTGGATGCTGCCGGTTGCTGCTCGCTCACTGCTGCAGCTGTTAGTTTAGTTGTGACAGATTCATCCTTGGCTGATGCTGCATCTGTTTGTGTCTTCAATGCAGTCACAAGATCTTCAAAAGATCAAATGCAATGGTGATGCATCAGTTCAATTGAGACTTGATCATCTCCACTTTCTCCTTTACTCCCCCACTCCCCCTTTATTCCATTCCAACACATTTCATATTCTACAAACACCACATGCCACATTTTGACACACTTTGCCATCCATCCATTATGAAAAAGGTCTCCGACATACCTTTTTGCATTGTTTTTGTCTCCACCCCTCCAGCTGGCAGCTCCATAGCAGCTTCAGTTGGGCTTCTGGCAGCCTGCTGTTGCACTTGTGAAGCGTCTGTCGTGGTCTCTGGCCTTTGTGCAGCAAACTCTGGTCCTGACAGGATTCTTTGCTGGTCGTGCAGTAAAGCTTTGGCAATGGTTTCTGTTGGTTTGGTCTCAACTGTACTGGTTGGTGGTTGGCTATCACTGGGTTTTCCTGGTGAAACTTCTTGCACAGCCTTTATAGTTGTGGTTTGTACCCCTTTGCTGTCAGCACAACCTCCAACTTCTCTGGGCTCTGCCACTTCAACTACTGTTTCCCCAAGCTGCATTGGTTCAGTGTCTTCAGTGTCATTGGGTTTGTGAAGTTTTGCTTGATGCTCGGGTTCAAAAGGGGTCACATTTGCAGTCTCAACAATCTCATCTGTGTCTTTTGGCAGCACCACAGGATCTTGAACCTTTGTTTCAGATTCTTTAGGCTTAGGATTTTCTACATCAGTAGATTTGGAAGGCACACTAACAGCCTTTGCAGCAGTTTCTTCAACCTTTTCTTTTGCCACAGCTCCTGCTGCAGCCAACTTGTCTGCTGGAGTTTGGGGTTTGTGTGTAGTTGAGGCTGTTTCTGCTTTGGAAGCCAAGAGCTTCGCTTCAGTGACAAACTCATTGCCTTTTGTTGGTTCAGTAACAGTCATGTTTGCTGATTTATCAAACTCAGCTGTCTCTTTCTGCTCTCCAGCAGGCTCTTTAACACTGGTTTCAGATTTATTAGGTATAGAGTCACCAGTGTCAGGCTGATTTTCAGAAGCCATGGGGTTGGATTCTGAGGACAATGTTTGCTTTTCTGTGGGCTTTTTCACAGGTCCCTTTGGAGACAACTTTCCTGCTTTTACCATTTTGGCTATCTGCGTGGTTGAGACATTTTTCGCTTTAGAAACCAAGACCTTCGCTTTAGTGACAGCTGACAGGCCTTTAATGGAGCCTTTAGCTGCAATTTTCTGATTGGCAAGTTTGATTGTTGAAGCTTTTATGTCTCCAGAGGGTAGAGGCTCTTCAAGCGGAGGCATGTTCGGTGTAGGGAGAAGTTCCTCTGTAATGGTGGTGGTGGTTGTGGATTGAGTGGTTTCAGGTGTGGAGACAGTGGAGACACTCTCAGGTTTTCTGTGAACAAAAGATAGTTACATGGGTCAAGAGAGTACAGTCCCTCAAAGGTTTAATTCTTGGAATGACTTAAACAAAAAAAAAAATATGTGAGCAATTATCTGTAATAAAATGAACAATATGAATGACATTTAACAAACATAGGATAGACACGATATATAGAAACAAATCCTACTTCTGAGGAGGTGTCTCTTGCTCCTTAGAGTCAGTCTCCGGCTTAGAGTCAGTCTCCGGCTTAGAGTCAGTCTCCTGTAAACAAATAAATTGTTTACTAACAAATACAGACAAATGCTGACATGTAGATTTTTCAGGGACAGAAAGAAAGACAGAAAAAGTGTAATACCTCTTCTCTGACAACAGCAATTTTCGTTCCATTCACATCGAGGTTTTTATGGCTCTTCAATTTCTTGGCGTCTTCCTCCTTCTCAAAACACACGATAGCCTACATGTTGACATACACACAAATTTGTATTACTACAAATGTCGGGACCATCTGCTCAATACATTTACACATTAAACATATTACCACACTTGTTAACACTTACATGAGATTTAAAACCTTAAAGTAAAGTAAGTATAGTCCCAGCACAGGAAGCATGGCCTTGTGGCTATGGAGTGTGTGCAGTGGAGGTAAAATCGATCACCTATCACAGACGGACTGACCACCGCTCAGTGTAACAGAAATACAGCTGCTGGTAGTCAGAGCTAACAGAACTAACCAGCCACAAGCAGCTACTGTTAGACTCTCCGTGTCTGCGCTTGTAACACAACAGAGTCCGCTGGAGCTTTAACAGTCACTAGAAGCACATTCATGGAGGTTTGCAAAAGTTTATGTGTGGTACCTGTGCTGTAATATTAGCTAAGCTAGCGGCTCAGAGAGGCTAACTTTCTGGTGTCTGTGGGGAGGAGTATATATAATAGTTATTATATAGTAGTATCATATATTAGAGAACAGAGAATTTGGTGACTTTGGATTAATTAGATTTGTTAATTTGTTTAATCTATAATACATTGTGCCTTAAGCAGCTGAGAAAGAGTATGGACACATCATACACAGTCTTCACTCTCTCTATACATACCTCTAGTCTGGCCCGAAACAGAACAACTGACTTGGTTTTTCCAAATTGCTCCACAGCAGCGACAATATCATTGTGAGAGACATAACTATGAATCCCTTGTAGTTTCACCATGGTTGGAGGAGAAGTTTTACCAGACTGAGCAAAGAGAGATAAAAACACAAAGTTAGAACTGCTCAAACTGGCTGCCATTTAAAATGGTTAAAAGAAAAATGCATCCGTGTTTTAAGTGTCAAACCTTAATGCCATCTGTTTCAGGCAACATGCTGTTTACATAGAAATGAGTTGAGTAGTGTAGTAGTAGTAAAATGTTGTTGATTTATGAGTTATGTGGATAAGCTTTAAATTAAAAGACTGAGATAGAGACACAAGAGGGGAAGGAGAAAGTAGTGTTTACCAGATGATAGATTTCCCTGGTACATTAACACACACATAGACACACCTTAATCTTTGTGGAAGAACTTGCCTCACTCTTCTCCAGAATAGGCTTTGCTTTTGAGGGCTTTGTTGTTAACTCCTTCTTTAAAGTAGAGGAGAATGATAAGAAAGAGGCAGCAGAAGACAATTTCTTTCCTTCTGCAAAAGGAGGAGATGAGTAGGGTTTTCCTCCTTTAGAAGCGGAGGAGGAGGGTGATGATGATGATGATGAAGGGGACTTCATCTTGCTTAGCTCGGCCAGTAAGGCAGGAGCAAGAGTTTTAACCACCGCTTCCAGATCTGACTGTTTTGACAGAGACTGGACAGCTAGAGGGACAAAGACGAAAACAGTGTAAAACTAAATTGCAGTGTTTTGATTGCAATGTCTCAGACAGAGTCAAAAGTGATCAGAATCAGAATCAGAATCAGAAATACTTTAATAATCCCCGGGGGAAATTACTTCTTAACTGTGCTTGTTAATTCATAAGCTGTTGACATCTTTTTCTGGGAAATGTTTTAAGCTTGGATTACTTACTTACATATGTAGCTGAACCATAGCTACATTTTCTAAATGAACAACATTTCTTGAGTTTTGCAAAGTTTTGCAATTATTTTGTTGCAATAATTATCTAAATATTTGTGGCATTCACTATATAGCTTTATAATAGGTACAGGTATGTTGAGTACCAAGACTACCAAGTTTTTAAATTAATATTACCAAGTTTACTTATGTCCTGTGGTATTAAACTGTTTGCAATTTGTCAAACCTGTTGTTTCCAGGAGCTTCTTGGCCAGTCTCTCTGCATTGCTCGACTTCTTTTGTTGACGGGATGACTCTTCTGTGGACGATCGCCTCTCCCTGCTCGGAGATGATAGTCTCTCATCACTCCTCCTCGCTGGCGACTGTCTCTCACGACTCCGTCTCGGAGATGACCGTCTCTCGTCACTCCTCCTTGGTGAGGACCACTTCTCGTCTCTCTTCCTCGGCGAGAGTTGTCTCTCAGGACTCCGATAGCGGTAGGATGTCGGGCGGTCATACCATGGGGAGCGAGACTGAGATCGGGGCCTGATGAAAGTCAATCACTTTATAAGTCAGTAAATCTAATGATAAATCCAAATGACAAACCCAAAGAGGTCAAAATGAATGTTGATATAGATTAAATTGGTAATTTCAAAATCTGGTGGTGAGAAGTATCTTTCCTGCTCTCCTATGTTATTACATAAAGTAGAATTTATGTGTGACAGACCTCCGAGTATATCTGGAAGTGTGAGGTGACTGTGATCGTTTTCTGTGCTCCCTTCTACCCCCCGAACCCCGGTGGCGACGGGGGCTGGACGAGCGGGAACGGGAGCGACTTCCATGAGTGGTTGCCTGGTGACGATGCTGAGAAGTCTGTGCAGAGGTTGCAGCAGGCTTGGCATCTTTGTCTGCAGCCCTGAAGAGAGCAATGGATGAGAAAAGCATTAGATAATGACAGCAAAGGACAATTTGTAAAAATCTGCAGTGTGGTTCACAACTGCCTTGCTTTAGTTTTCCATATCTGAAAACTAAAACCAGACGGACACTTAATAGATTTGGATGGACTTCAGCCCCAAATTGGTCGCCTTGGAAAATTTCTACAGACTTTGGAAATTTACCTGGGCCCGGGTGCTATCTCACCATCCCACTCTGGGTATCTGTGGAAAAAAACAATTCAAACAAATCACAAAACTGTAAAGACCCAGATTTTAAGAAGAAAAGCCAAAGGTTTCTGTATTGAGGAATGTGGTGACAAAGCAGCTGCATTTACTAGATGCTAAAGTCAAAGGATATGGAGGAACTGTACATGCTCTGCTGCTTAGAACTATAAAACATCCACCAAGAGGCTCCTTTAGGAAACCATTCTCAAAGAATGTATATAGTCTGACACTTGTTTCACTAGCCTCCCAACAATGGGGGTTCAGGAAAGGCCATTCAAGGGACATGTTTCAATGTTGTGAAAAGTTAAAAGGAAAAAAGACTGACTGTTTTCGCAGAACTTTGCAGTTCTCAAGGTGAAGGCTGGTGTTCTGGTGGGAGATCCAATCCTAGTAGTCAGAACAACAGACAGCATTTAGATAGGCCTTACTATTTCTAAAATCACCTTCAATATCTCAACTGCCATTGTTGGGATTGTCGGACACATCTTTTAATCAAAATTACAGCAGCCTTAAAAAAGATCCTGTGTCTACAAAAGCAAAATAAATGTATCTATTTTCTTTAAGCCATCAGCAGTCATCCAAAAAACAGGAAAAAACTTAAACCCAAATGAGGTACATAAAAAGTTTTAAATCATGACTTTAGTGATTCTGAAAATGCGTATGGATGGTCGACAACTTTGCCAACCCTGTCGTTAAAACTTACAGCTGACTTTATAGTCAACTTAAGAATAATTTGAGCTCAAAACAACAAGTCTTTATCATGAAACATAACAAATACAGGAGTTCCAACAAACAACCAAAATAAAAAAAGTTCTTCTAGGGTTCTTGATGCCTGGTTCTTCAGTCTTCTGTCAAATCAAAGTTTTCTGAGGTTCGGTCATCTCAGCAAAGGCGATCATCAAGTATGGATCAGGACAAAAACACACACACAAGCTGATACATACGGAGTAGAGCCAGGACAGTGTGGAAACTGCAGAGAAGAAACTGTTGAGGCATCGGGTACATTTATTTGTAGAAGTGACTGGAATTTCTTTTGGGGACACAAAAATATACAAAAAAGGGGAGACCGGCTCCATAATATTACATAAAAAACAATACCTAGTGTTAGATATGAAATGAGTTACAGTAGTAAAGTGAATGACTGATCATAAACAATTGTTGAAATTCAAACATTGTGAAACAAAAGGGGGAGGAGGGGCATCCTTGATCATCTTAGTTCTTCAGACTTGCAGATTCTTCCTCGTCACGTCTTCAAAGCCCATGGTTCGGTTAGCATCTTATCGTTACCTCCATCAGTAGCTAGTCTGGAGGGGATCATGCCTGGTTGTGTGTGCGTCGGTGCGTCTCTGCCGACAGACGCATCGACGCATACACAAATAGATTTGAAAGTATTGCTTGGAGAGGCTGTAGCTCAGGCTGAGGGGACTTCGCCTGGGAACCAGAGGGTGGCAGGTTCAAGTCCAGCACAGACCAGTCAGTAAAGAGCAAGGATTGGTAGCTGCAGAGCTACCCCTTACTAATCAGGGCACCTAACTATGTGGCAGCCCCTTTGTTCAGACATCTCTCCATACAGTAATGCAAGCGTATAGGTTAAGCATAGGTGTTTCTCAGCCGTGTGTGTAAAATAACAGAGTGCATATGCCTTCTTCGACTTTTTAAAACAATTAAAACCCTTCAATACTTCCCCCCAAAAACTATTTTTTAAAAACAATTTTAGATACTGAACAACTCGCAATTTCCTAAAGGGAGAAAACAGGGTGCAGTCTTCCACTTACCTTCATATGAGTACATGGTTGGTTACATAGGGAACAGGTATGTGGAAAGATTCTCGGTGAGGCTGCTGCATAGTCATGCATCATGGCCGGAGTTGGCAGACGATTGACGGGTTCCAACTTTGCAGGAGGCTGCCTGTTGGTAGTCGACAGCATCATGTTCTTGAAGCTTATCAGGCTCGGGATTGCCTGGTGCAGAGCTGGAGGATGAACGATGGAACGAGGATCTCCAGGGATAAAAGCCGGATGTCTCAGGGCCTGCGAGGAATCATTGATGCCGGGGATCAGAGGAGCAGCGGGAACTGTCTGTGCGGCAGAAAAAACTGGCCACGCCGGTCGCCCCATCTGTGATACCGGCTGCTTCGGTGTCTGCTGTTTCGATTGTTGCTGCATTGGCTTCTTCTGCATCTGCTGCTGGGTCTGCTGCTTTTTCATCTGCTCAGCAACTGTTGACCCTTGAACTCGAGTTTTACTCTGATCCTTAGAGCCCCTGGTGTCATTACTGCCAATGAGCACAAGGCCAGGCCGGCTGGGGTGCACACCATGCAACACAGTGCTGGTTGGTTTGGTCTTCAATGCTGACTGGTGATCTGTCTCTGGTTCTTTTGAAGGAACAGGTTTGGAGGCTTCAGACTTGAAAACTCTGCTGTCTGTGTCTTTGTTTGGCAGAGATAAATAGCTGAGGATAGTTTGCAAGTCCTGGTTCGGTTGGGTCGGCAATAGTTTGGTCTGGTCATTGCTTGGGGGAGCCACAGACTTCAGTACTGAACTGTACGAAGACCTGAGACTGGGAACAGAAGTCGCCTGCTCATGTGAAGAACCCAAGGTTCTGCTTTTAGCCTCTGTTGTAGTTTTTGGCAGTGGGTCTCGATTGTGTCTGCTACTATCGTAAGTGTCCATTGGCAACATACTTCCACCACTGTTAGCTGTACCGCCACTGGTCCTTCCAATCTCATCCCCAACCCCTCCAGTATATTTACCAGTATGTCCATAGTCAATCACTTTACTCGGTTGGAGATAAGCCGCTGACACTTCTTCCTGGTGCATTCCTGCCCCCCCAGAACTGCGGTCCATTTCACTCATGCTTCTGGTAGGTTGAGGTTCGGTGTAGGGTTTTGGCTGAACTGCTGTTGTAGTACTCTTGGCCTTCTGAACGCGGATCTGGCGCAAGATGAACGGCAGGTTCGCAGGAGTGATTTGGTCTTCAGGGAAGGAGATGAGATGTTCCAAGTCCTCTTTTTCAAGTCCGAAGTGCAGAAGGATGTTAGCAGCTGATTCAGAGGTGTATTTGGGTCGACTGGACTCTGTGGGGGCTGCAGGTTTGTCTGGCACTGGATAGTCATAATCACCTAAACCCGGAATAGACTGCATATCATGTTCTTTTTCTCTGGGAGCATTAAACCTGCTGTCACCACCGCGTGCGTAGTTAGACGTAGCAGATGAATAATATTTAGAGTCATCAGCAGTGGGCCTTTTGTAGTTTGATGACCAGTCCAAGGAGCTACTGGCACTTTCAACGTCTGAATATCTGTGTCCTAGAGAGGCAGAGGTTGAGGACATTGGGTAGGAGGCCATCCCTGTGCCTGAGGAGCGAAAATCATCCCTTTGTGTGCTGGTAAAGCGAGTGCCCTGGTCTGTGGACTGATGAATCGGTTTGCCAAGAACCCTCACCTCCTCTCTGGCTCTGCTAATCTGAATATCTATAGACCTCTCTATGTCCTCGTCCATTGTGGACCTACTCTGTTCAGGCCTGTAGCCCATTGACTGAGACATCAGCGATGAGTGAACTCCCCCAGAGTTGTCAGAAATTGTAGAGGAAGCTCCGGAAGAAGTGAAGCTGGACCCAGGTCCAAGACGAGAAGATGTCCTCCGAGGGTCTCTCTCTGCCTGTGTAAGGGGAAGTCCATACTGCCCCTGGGTAGAACTTTGGTTCCGAGAGGCATAGGGGTTATACAGGGGATTGGACATTGTGTTTGCAATCTTGGTAAAGTTAAGGAGATTGATGGCCACAGCAGTTGGGGAGGGGGGTGTTGTAGGTATAAAGGGAGCAGGTGTGGGGAGTTGACTGTAGAGGTTGCTTGGGAGAGCGAGCGTGTCTGCGTCAATGCTAGCTGGGCGGCCTGCTGGCCAATCAGGAGTAAGCTCCCTGGGAGCCCTCCAAGTAGAGGGCTCTTTAGGGGCAACGCAAAGCTGAAAAGTTAAAAAAAAAAAAAAGGAAAGAGTTATTGAATGGGATTCGACTTCAGCTTCTTGGTTGGATAAAATCCCTCATCTGGACGGTCGTGTCTTGAGCTGTCCACCCTGGTGTTTGCTGTTGGATAAACATTTGTTCCGGCTATTTCGTCTTCTGGTCTGGTTTTCACTAGCAAGAAAGAACAGAGAAGGCAAAAGCAACAAAGCACAGATAAAGAGAGAAAACAACGTCTTCACACCATGATCATGTCTGCTGGAAACAGTTGAGACTGGCACCAGCAGACGAAGCACATTGCAAAAATTAACATCTGACAATTGGAAATTCCACTTAAGAACGTCACATTAGATCATACTGGAAGACGATGCTGACAACACGGTGCTGATCGCTGGTAGTGAACAATAGTCTTTAAATTAAAACGGTTGTTTTAAAAAAACAAAAACAAAGACAATCCAAGAATCATGTAAAGTGTTGGCAGTTTTATTTAAAAATGAATCCACACGGGCTATTGCATCCTTAAACTTTCCAGGGACTTCTATTCCCTCCCTTCCACTTTCTTCTTCCACAAAGAAACCCGTCTTTTTCATTCAGAATGCCGAACAGAGACAATGTTTTCGGTGACAAATCAAACCACATTGCAAAAACAACGCTGAAAATAACCGGGATATGTCTTGATCTGTATTATTGCACTACTGACTGACAACTAGGGCTGGAAACAAATATTCTATTCTTCGTATTCGTTCAATGCGTAGTTTTTTTTCAATTCTAGGATTATTCACACACACGCACACACACACACACACACACACACACACACACACACACACACACCTCTGCACCTCTGTAAAGGCTTTCCAAGCTGCGTATTCTCAGCCCAGGACTAAAGACTAGAGATTTATAGCTCTGTGTCAAAATCGATACCGTAGGTACGGTGTAGCCTCGGTGTGTCCCGTTGTATTCCCTCGTCAGTACGTTGCCACCAGGCAGTGGAGGGCGAAATGAGAAAAAAAAAAAAAAATACAAATTGCAGAAGAGAAACAAGGAAGAATTTCAATTTCAGTCACAACTCAACACAGTGGCAGAGAAACCCCACCATGCAGACACAACAGCACACAGGTATAAATGCTCAACGCTCAATAAATGCTTTACGCAGAATTATAATAAACCAGCCTCAAGGATAGCCTTATTGACTAACATCAAGTCACACAAAATATGACATGAATGCAGAATAATACCTCCAAAACTTACCAATCAACACTTCAGCGCTCAATTGTGATTTGTTGCTCACGTCTGATTTTTCACGGTCCTGAAGTGACCCGCATGACGAATGTCGACCTAGAGTGACATAAAAGTCCCATGAGTTCTGATCGGACTGTTCACACTGCTGAACAACCACATATAAAAGCAGCCTACATCTGAATTTAAGAAAATCAGTGCTCTCTAATCGTGAGTTCGATACCGATTGTGCAGCTCTACTGGCACCCGATAATGGATCGCATTAAATTGTTCATCAGTCTGTCCACCATACACTGATCAACCATAACATTATGGCAACCCGGGCTCCCTGACTGGCCCTGAACACAACAAACTGTGACACCTTTCCATCAGAACCAGCATGAACTTCTTCAGCAGTTTGACCGACAGTAGCTCGTCTGTTGGATCGGACTACACGGGCCAGCCTTCGCTCCCCGCGCGCATCAGTGAGCCTTAACTAGGGGTGGGCGATATGGGCAAAAAAATAATATCTCAATATTTTGTGGGATTTTGGCGATAACGATAATCAGTCGATATCCTTTAAAATGTGATTAGAATTGTCTGAGCTGGACTTGTGTCCACCAAACGCGTTTACAGCGCTGAGAGAGCTCAAAAACTTATTTTCCGAGCGCCCAGCGGTGTTAAAAGTTGAACAGGTTTCAACTTGAAGCGCTCTGCTGAAGGCGCTTAGCGCTCTGAACGCTGAAGCCCATAATAGGACCCACGTCTCGGCACTAAATCACCTGAAGTACCGGTAGCTTCAGGGACTGGAGGTGTTTGCGTTTTCTCTCTACCATCGCAGATCACGTCATGTGATCACGTAGGCCCACTAGTGGTGTGACTGAATCCTGCCATGCTGTAGAGAGCGCTGCTGCACCGTGTATTAATGGATGTGAGGAGTTTCCGCGGGGGCGTTTCATTGTTTTTGTCGAAGTAATTTAAATACTCGATAATGGAAATTTTGCACATCGTGACAAACAACAATGACGATATTATCGCAAACGATATATTTATCGCCCACCTCTAGCCTTAACCCTGTCACCAGTTCAGCTTTCTCGAACGGCTACTGACCTCTGCCGACCGGGAACACCCCCACAAGAGATGTTCTGACCCAGTCGTCTGTAAGCCATCACAATGTGGCTCCAGTCCTCACCCTGCCTGCTTCTCCTGCTTCTGACACATCAACTTTAAAAGGGCAGTCTCGTTGACAGCTGCCACGACAACCACATAATCGGGGTTATTCAGGGTTGATACTTAAAAGCCAGTAAAATAACACATTTAAAACACACAGACAACATTTTATACCTTCAGTAACTTTACAGAGGAAGAGGAAACAATGAGCTAGAACAATGCAAACCAGACGTTAGGCCGCACTTTGACTGACTGACCCTATTAAAATAAGATTATTAATATGAGTTAGTTTAATATCTGGAAGGTGTGAAGGTCTAAATTAATAAGTTAATAAGTTAATAAGTTAATAAATTAACCGACGTGGCTAAACTACGTGCTAACTGCTAGCTTCAACTTCAGGAGGGTCACAAACAAAACACTCATCACGGTTTCCCGTTAACACACTATACTTGTTTGTGTTTACCTGTTGTTATGTGACTGTTTCCCCACAGGTTCGATGTCCTTCGGGTTGTTGTCAAGGGAGCATCGTTCTCACACTTCCGGTTTCTGCTTCGTTTTACTTCTTCTTCTTCTTCTACGGGTTTAATGGCGGTTGGTGAACCAGCTGATGGGTGTGTTACCGCCACTTAACGGATGGAGTGTGGAGGAGTGTATTGGCAGGAAAACAAAAAGGAAAAACTAATTAAATTAAATTAAAAGGGGCTTTATTTAGATGAGAAAGAGATGTTTACATGGAAAATAAAAATAAATTACTTAAAATGGAGTAAGACGTAAGTAGTTTGTGGTATGTTAATACATATTGGGCAGCAAGATACGCCCTGATTTAGATCACTGAAATCTAATTTGTTTAAATATATGTTCCTTATATTATCAAATGTTTTCTACTTTAGGAGGGAGTGCATCCTCTCTATTACTCCTGTTACTCTTAATTAATGTCTTTCCTAGCAGATTCTTCGATGTAATGTTGTGTTTTCCATCATCTAGTGCTGATATTAATGATCTCCATCAATCTATTAATTACTACACGTTTAACAGTTTCTAGTTTATTACAGTGTGTGCCTAGTCCATTTGGGAGTGTTTGATTTAGACCTGTATGTCCTATTCTCAGATGGGTTATGACTAGCTCCACCTTTTTTTGCCAAAAGATCCTCCTAAATGTTACCCACTGGACCTTTAAATGAAAATATATAATTGTCATGATGAACTTTCGCTTTAATTACAGAGCAAAAATGGGAGCAGGGAAAACAAAAAAAGAGAAAAAAGAAACATAATCATTTCTATGATTTTTATTGTTTACATGAAATATTCTCTCAAAAAACTAGAAACAATAAGAAACTGTCCTTGAGAGACAAACACCCTCAACTGGTTTGATTGTCTTTTTACATCATGTACAACATTAAATTCCAGGCTTCTTATATACCATTTTAAAAACAAGTTCAGAGGCTCCCATAGAAACAGTTCATCCTTCACAAAAGGTGCTACATGCTGCGTCAGACATGTCAAAATGTTATTAGATTTAATGATGAAATGTAAGAGTATAGACTTATTACTTAAATGAGACATGGGTGATTTATTTCACTACTGTGCCAAACAGAAAGTACTTTAATTTAGACGACTGGTGGACCCTCTTGTATGCCTCTATGGTAGATAAAACGTTATAAAGTGCCCTCAAAGATGCCCTTCCAGTGAATAAAACATGGTAATCCTGACCCTGACTAAGCTGTTTGACCATAAATGCATCACGACTGCAAGTGCTCTTTTTTATTTGTTTTTATTTGTTTTTTTATTTGTTTTAATTTATTGATGGGTAAAAGAGTTCCTGATGAAACTCTCCTCCTGTTTCCAGTTTTCAGAATATGAATGATGCAGCGTAACAGGGCGGAGCAAGGCACCAAAACTGTAGAGTTGGAGGGAGGTAGAATTGCAGATGTTTCACTTTTTCACATTTTTTAACCAAAGGAAAAATAATCAGTAGATGAAGTTGGGATCAATCAGACACAGAGCCTTGAGAACTTCGTGTTGAACTCGTTGATGGTTTCTGTTCAAGCTTCTGATAATGTTTCTAAAAAAAAAAAAAAAAAGAAAGAACACTATCAATATGAGGACAAGTGAGTGTTTAGTGTGTTAGTGTGTTTAAATGTTGTGTATGTTGTATATACCTGCAGGTTGTCGTAGTGTCTCTGGCTGCTGCAGTGGAGGTCCTTGGCTGTGCTCTCGTTCAGGTAGAAAACAGAGCAGAGGTTACAGAAAAACCCAGATTTGGGGACCACAAACTCCCGACCTGAAGAGGGAGACAGTGACAGTTACAGGAGGAGAAAGTGATGAAACATTTACATCTTGTGTCGCTTTCAGATAAAATAGGAGTGTGTTAGTGTGTCTCACCGAGGGGGTTGTTGGGTTTGAATGCCGGCAGTTTGAGGTCAGCAGCGACAGAAGGAGACTGAGAACGAGATCTCTTTGCCTCGGGTCCGACAAGTTCCCTCCTCTGTTTACTCACAACTAAAGAAACAACAATCCATAAAATATCAGCTCAGTGTGGATAGTACACTAAAACTGAAGCATAAAATGTCTGTTAGTGCATAAATGGCCTTAGTCCGTCTGTCTTTCAGCTCTCTGTACCTTTAATGTCTGCCCTGCTCCATCCTTCCTTCTCCTCCTCTCCTTCCTCCACGCCTCCCTCCAGTGTTTGGTTCTCAGGGCGCTCTGACTGCAGCTCCTGCTCAGCTGAGGCAGCATCACTGTCAGCTTGGCTCGCTGCTTCCTCCTCAGTCTCAGTCTTTTGGACCTTCAGCTGGTCGCAGCTCGACAACGTAGACGGATCTTTGTCCAATGACGAGGAGGCATCGAGTGAAGTGGGAGGCAGTACGTCAACTTCTTGTCTCTCGTCTTTTACGCTCACTTTTTTCCCTCTGGTAGTATTTCTCACTGTGGTTAAAGATAATGAATCAGTTGGACGAACAAAAGAAAACTGAAAATTAATAATCTTAACTCTCATTTTGATTGCCATTATTTTTCCTAGAATTCTGCTTTTAGAGCTAGTTATTTATTATAGTTTTTACTAAAACCAGTAAAAATCTAATGCAGTCAATTTTGTAATATGATAACAAGTATATATATTTATAAAGTCAAACAGCCCCTGTGAGGGAGACCATAATGCTGATAAGGCCTGGCATGAAATAAAGTAAATGACGATTGGAGTTTACCAATGAAGTTGGTAAAGAGAGTAGATTTCGGGTAATGACAGAATTTTATATAATTTTATATATAGATGTGTGTGTGCTACCGGGGGTCTGTCTGGTTCCGGTTCTGGTTCTCTTCTCAGCTCGGCCTCTTGTCTTGGTTGTAACGGATTTGTTTTCCTCCTCCTCTTCCACCTCGTCTACGATCACAAAGTTCACACTTTCCTCTAAAACAGGACAAATAAAAAAAAAAAGATTCAGACAAACATCAGAACAGGAACTTTTTTACAAACAAACAATTTCCTGTCAAAATATTTTAGAGAAATAGAAGGCACTTTCTATTTTGACACCCAGGTTGAACACTGGGTTGGGAGGAGAGGCTCTTATTTTGGAGGGTATTAAGGAGACAGTACCTTTTACTTCAACTTAACTTACATAGGACAAACCTAAATTATCACTGGCCAAGACATTTTGACTCTTAAAAGCAGGAAAAGCTCAGGTGGAACTTATAATGGTCTCTGATATCACTCACTGACAAGGCTTACTGGGACTTTTGATATAAAGACAAGCTATCTGCAGTGAAAATGGTCTATAGGTTTGAAATCACACAGTTAAATGGAGACAATCAATAGTTCTCGAGGGTAAAATGCAAATATACCTGTGTAAGTATACTTTACTGTGTACTGACAGAATAACACACACCTGTATCGTCACCGTGTTTGCGTTTAGCAGATCTTGATGTTTTCTCAGGTTGCTCTGCATGCGGCTGCTCTTCCTCATCATCATCGCCAGCTTCATCTAAAGTCACCAAAGTCTAAAAATAGACAAACGAGATCTTTAGAATCAGTGGTTCTCCCTTTGTTTTATAAATGTTTGTTTTACAGGGATTCACCGTAATGTGGAATCTCAATCTTTACCTCTGGGTTCAAAGAGTCCTCTGATTCGTTCTGGTGGAGTGGGCGGGTCTCCAGTGTCTCCTTGGTGTCCCCTCCCCTCCCATTCACCAGGTTCACCACGGGGCTAGTTTTGTAGTGTTTCTTGGGTGAATTTAGTTTATTTTCCTCTTCAGGTGTTGCAGTATTAATTTGGGACTTAATTGTGTCTTTCTTAGTTGTTTTCATCTCTTTCTTTGGTCTTCCCCTTTTACCTTTGAGTCCTGTAGCAGGCCTATCATCCTTAACGTTGTCCTCCACAGAGTCCAATATTTCATACGTAGATGTTTCTGTGGTGGCAGAATCTTGAACCAATTCATCTTCAACAGAATCCACTATCTCAAACATCATCCCCTCAGTGGTCTCCTTGTCTTTTTTAGAAACTCCTGCAGTGGTGTGCCTCTTCTTCCGTGTGTCATACTTTTTAACATTCCTGTGCTGTTTCTTTGGTGATGTCACTTCTTCACTTTTGGATGTTGTGGTTTTGGGGTCACTCCTTTTTGATGGTCCACCATCTTTTCTAGCAGTGGCCTCCCATTTCTCAGTCCTTCTTTCCATGTTGTCCTTCTCTGACTCTGTGGTCAGTGGCTGATCTCCCAAAGTATCAGTTGCCTGATATGTGCCTTTCTCTTCTTCTATGGACCTAAGCTCACCTTTAGATAGCTGGTCATTGGGAGTTTCAAGTTCATCTTTTGTTGCAGTCTGATCATCAACTGAATCCAATATCTCAAAGGTTTCTTGTTCAGTACAATCATAGTTACAGTCTTGAAGAGGCTGGTCTTCATTTGGGATTTGGCCATCAGGATTTTCCACATCTTTGAAGACTTTGCAAGATTCTACCTTAAGCAATTTCCCTTTGTCTTCTTCTTCTTCTTTTGTCTTCCCATCACCATTGCTCATTGAAGCTTGTTTGCCACCTGTATCCAACTTGTCTTTGTTATGTATCTCCTGATCTTTAACTGCATCATCAGATTTGTCGACTACTGGAACTGCATCTTCTTCAGACAGTTGTTTCACTGTGGAACCGCCATCTTGGACCAGGAGCCTGTCCTCTTGACTTGTTGCTGCTTGGTCTTCGGTAGCACTGTTCAGCACTTGGAAAGAACCATCCATTTTAATTTTACGGTTCACCTCTTGGAAGTCTTGGTCTTCGTTGTCAACACTGTCCAAGACCTGATAGCTTTCCTCATGCAAAGTCTTGCCTTCCTCAAGTTCAGATTGCTTGAGTTCAGAGCTCCCATAATGCTCCTCATTATCCATCTGTTCATCTGTTCGATCATCTAGTGAATTGAGGATTTGGTAGTTTTCATCCTCCTCCTCCTCCTTTGTTTGTTTGTCAACATCATCATCTTTTCCTTCCTCTTTGCTTTTATTCGGGTCTTTGAGTGTTTCAACATTAACATCAATGTCCAGACTTTGGACTTGACTAAACTCATACCCTTGTCGCTGTGAAGGTGAATGCATCTCTGATGTGGTTTCTATTTTTGTCTCTGACCCAACAGTTTTAGCAGCAACACCCTCTGCTGACATCTTGTGGTCAAACTTTGTTACTGCGCCCTCTGTGGCTTTTGCTTCTTCTCTAAGCCACTCCAGGTGAGTCTCTACTGACGCTTCGACAGTTACTGCTGATGTTATCATTTCCCTTTCGCATGCAGCATAAAACAAGTGTGTACTACAACTGGATGTGGTATTTGATGCTTTAAATGGAGATTTTGTCGTCCTTTGTTGTGCTTTATGACCAGGGGAGGAAGGGGTTTCAGTAGACTCTGGACTTGTGTCTTCCACATCATCACCAATTTCATCAACAGTGACAAAGTCATCCATGTTGAAATTGTCCTCACTGTCATCTGAGAAATCATCTTGACCCTGGTTGAGATCAAATAAGGATACAGCGGATGCATCCTTAGCTGATGTTGCACCTCTTTTTGACATCACTTCAGTCACAGGATCTTCAAAAAATAAAATTTAATGAATATAAATATCAGTATTTTGAAAGATCATCATTTCCCCTTCCTCATCCCTCAAGTATTTCAAACAACAGATACCTTCCTAACAAAAAATTATTGGCACAAGAATTATTAACTATTAATTATTAATAACTATTGATGAATATGTTTGCAATGATAGGCTTGTTTTTTGTGTTATATGGTTATATTCATGCATGTCGAAGACAATTTGGACCTGAATAAACAGTAAAAAAGGAGTTATATTTCACAAGTCTTCCCATATTGTATTGTATTTCCCAGTGATGCACTCAGATCTATTTTAAATTCAAGCACATTCATTATTTCAAAGCCATCTTTCTCCTCTTTGGCTTAGCACAGACAGTTTGAAGTACTTTTCCAGTTCTATTTGACTGAAAGTGAAAAGGTCAACATTGTGTCCAGTTAAAGGTTTTCATTCTACCACCACACCAAATTCCTTTCTTAAATTTAACACATGTCAACATACCTTTTTGCATTGTTTTTGTCTCCACCCCTCCACCTTGCAGCATTACCTCCACAGCAGCTTCAGTGGAGATTCTTGCAGCCGGCTGTTGCACTCGTGGAGCATCAGTCTTGGTCTCTGGTGCATGTGCAGTGGACTTTGAGCTTTTCCGCTTTACCGCAGCCTTTTTAACAGGTCCCTTCGCAGGCAACTTTCCTGTTTTTACCTTTTTAGTGACCTGCTTGGTTGAGACTTTTTTCGCTTTGGAAACCAACACTTTCGCTTTAGTGCCTTTAACTGAGCCTTTAGGCGCAATCTTCTGATTGGCAAGTTTTCCTGCTGTAGCTTTCGTGGCTCCAGAGGATAGAGGCAGTTTAATCAGAGAAATGTTAGGTGTAGGAAGAAGAACCTTTCTCGTGGGAGTGGACTGACTGGATGTGGCGGGTTTTCTGTGAACAAAAGAGAGTCGCATGCGTCAAGCAGGAGAAAATGAAATGGTTTGAATGTTTTCTTATGTTCTTCACTGTAAGAAAGTAATCCTTTACAGGTTGAATTTCTTTTAAATTAACCATATGGATTCAATTTAACAAACTGGGGATGAACACAATATCATGTACATCAATGGTTCCCACCTCTTTCCTTAAGGGGCTCCTTTTCTATCATTGCAGTTTTACAGCAAGTGCAGTAAATTCTGAATATATGAACTGTACCTTCTCCACTGAGGACACAAATTAAGGCAGCAACTAAATATTTATGGTATTATATTGGCAAAAACAAGATAAAACCCTCCACACTCCATCACTGTTAAAAAAAACAGTCTGTAAGAAAGATATCTTACTTTTTTCGCTTCATAGAACCAGTTCCCTGAAAACAAACAAATTGAGATTTGTTATTTTAAATTCATCTAATAATTGACAATGTGAGCACACTACTGCAGACAAATGTTAATATGTAGATTTCCCGAAGACATATAAAGAAAGACAGAAAGTGTAATACCTTTTCTCTGACAACAGTGACTGCAATTCCTTTCACATTGAGGTGCTTTACTCCCCTCAATTTCTTGGCGTCTTCCGCTTTGTCGAAACACACGATTCCCTACACACATACACACACACACACAAAAATGCATGTATCTTTGCATTACTACAACCATTGTAAGGCCAAAAGCTCACATTAAAGTATTAAAATCGGAGAAAAAAAACCCCACAGTCTTCACTGTCACATACCTCCTGTTTGGACGGAAACAGTACAACTGACTTGGTTTTTCCAAATTGCTTGACAGCAGCGCCCACATCATTTTGTGAGAGAGAACTATGAATCCCTTCGAGCCTCACCATGACTAGAGGTAAAGATTTACCAGTCTGAGCAAAGAGAGAGAAAGAGAAAAACACAAACTTAGACCAAATATAGTGTGGGTCATCACAAACGGGAAAAAGACAATATTAAGATTCTGAAGAATTTTACGCATTTAACTGCATTTAACTGTAACCTATAAGCTAAGCTGTGACTTGACTGCATGGTGTGGGTCTGGAATGAAGGAAAATTGCATATATTACTACTATCCTAAATATTATTTTCCAGCATTCATTCTCGTGTACGTCTCTTTTGGCCGATGCCCAGAATGATGCTTGGTCATGCAACAGGACGAGTTCACGTAACAGACAGCACTATTAACAATGGTTTTCTGAAAGTTACTTAAATAACCTTTAATGTCATCTCTCCTTACAGTCAACATAATTTTAATAAAGTATTTTTAGTATTCATTTTCTTTTTAGTCTTTGGCACACACAAACACATACTAACCTTAGTCTTTGTGAAAGAACTTGTCTTGCCCTTCTGCAAAGCGCGCTTTGCTTTAGAGGGATTTGCTGTCCACACCTTTGCTGTAGAGGATGGTGATGAAGATGAGGACTTCATCTTAGCTAGCTCAGCCAGTAAAGCAGGAGCCAGAGTTTTAACCACAACATCAAGGTTAGACTGAGTGTGGACCTCTAGAGGGACAAAGATGAAAAGAGTGTCAGACAAAAGTGCGCTTTGGTGGCTGCAGGGTTTGCAGGGTCTTTATTACAAAGAGGGAAAAACGTTTCTTGACTGTATTTTTCTGTGACTGTGGTTTTCATACTTCATGTGAAGACTATTCAATTGTATTCAATGTTTGCAATTTCGGAAAACCCAATTTTTCGTTCAGTCAATTGTGAATTAAAATGTTTCTCATACCTGATTTTTTCAGCAGTTTCTTTGCCCATCTCTTTGCGTTCCTTGACTTCTTTCCTTGAAAGGATGATCCCTCCGTGGGGAATCGCCTTTCATGGCTCATCCTTGGTGGTGATTGTCTCTCGTTACTCTTCCATGGTGGCGATCTTCTCTCACAACTCCATCTTGGAGAAGATCGTCTGTCATCATTCCTCCATGGTGGCGATCGTCTGTTATCATTCCTCCATGGTGGCGATTGTCTCTCGTCACTCCTCCATGGTGACAATTGTCTGTCATCACTCCTCCATGATGACGATCTTCTTTCACGACTCCATGTTGGAGATGATTTTCTCTCGCCACTCCTCCTTGGTGAGGACCATTTCTCATCTTTCAACCTTGGCAACAATCGTCTCTCAGGGGTTCTTGAACGTGACCGATAGCGGAAGGAGGTCGGGCAGTCATATCGTGGGGAGTGAGAACGAGACCGGGACCGAGACCTGGTGACAGTATGGATTAAATAATTTCAATTCATTGAAAAATACTTTAACCCATTGCCAAACTAATGTTGAAGTTAAGGCAGATGTTTTAATGTTCTGCAGAATGAATTTGTGAAAGTAATTTCACAACATGGTGGTGAGTGGTATCTCTTCTATTCAGCCATGTTATTGCTCATGTCAAAATTATGTGTGTCAGACCTGCGGGTGTATCTGGAACTGTGCGGTGATTGTGATTGGATACAGCTTTTCTCCCTTCTACCCTGGACGCTGGGGCTGAACGAGTGGGAACGGGAGCGACTTTCATGGCTGGTTTTCTGGTGGCGATACTGGGAAGTCTGTGCAGAGGTTGAGGCTGCGGGCTTGACACCTTTACTTGCAGTCCTGCAGAGAGCAACAGCATTGGTGAATGAAATAAAGAATAAGGGTATATTTCAGTAAAATGTCAGAAAGGTGGATTGTGGAAATGTTTTTAGTAAGTTAACACAACATATAAGATCAAAAAGATCATAGTGCCTGTCCAGCTTAAGAAATATACCTGGGTGCGAGCGCTATCTGACCATCCCAATCTGGGTATCTGTGGGAAAATTACCCAAAAAATAAAAAAAAGGAAAATGTTACCAAAAAAAACAAACAAAGAATGACTTAACAAGGGTTAAAAGAGAAAAGACTGACGTTCTTCGGAGGAGATTGCAGTTCTCAAGGTGAAGGTTGGTGTTCTGATGGGAGAGCCAATCCTAGTATTCAGAACAATAGACACACAGCATTTAGATATTATTATCAACACACCTGCTAACTAGTTCAATATATCATCTGCCATTTTTGGCATTATCTGAAAACAAAGATCTCTTTTATTCAACATTACAGTAGCCTTTAGTTCCTTAAATCTCCAAAGTTTGTGTCTCTTTGTTGGACTGTTGAGTCTCTCCAGTCCAAGTGTCCAAAGCCCTTTCTCTGCTCTTGTACAAGTGCTTGTACAGTTTGTGATGTATAGAAGAGCAAGTCTACAAAAGCATCTGTACTAACAGTAGTCTTTCAAAATACAAAATGGAACAACCTTGAGTAAGGAGCAGAGACATTAACAAACTAGCTAACAAATAGTGACTAAATCAATGTAAAAACAAGTATATTATGAACAAAAAACTTTTAGCATGTTGGCAACTCTTTCCTTCAAGTTCAAAGGCAGCAAGTCTTTCAAGAGTCTATCAAGTCCATCAAGACCAGTGCCAGTAACAAGCAACCAAAATAAAAAGTTCTTCTTCTGGGGTTCTTGATACTGAGTTGTCTGGTTTTCAGTCTCATGTGGTGGTATCATAAAGTTTCATGAGGTCGCCTCAGCAGACGCCACTATCAAGTATTAATCAGAACACAAAACACACAAGCTGTGACATCGGAAGTAGAGGCAGGAAGATGAAGAAACTGGGGAGAGGAGGAAGCTGGAGGGACTTTTTACTTTGCCAAAATGTAAAATGCAAGACACTTCCTGTGTGGTTCAGGAAGTATGATTGTTGGAGGTGGTATAGTGGTGATTGAAAGTCCTTTTGGGGTCACAAAAATCCAAAAAGGGGGAATCCATAACAACAGCCAGCATTATGAAAAAGTGAAAAGTGATACCTACTGTTAGATATCAAATGAAAGTAACAAGATCCATTACACTACATAGCAAGAAAAAGTTTAAAAAATAAAATATAAAAAAAGCAAACATTGATGCACTTCTTTCTTTCAGATTTGCAGAATCACTTCTTCTCCTTTGACTCCATGTTCTACAACCTCATTATTTTTTATGAAATTATAATCACTTCTTCATCACAGTAAATCGGGCAATTGCCGTTACACAACAATGATTGCATCTGTCCAAACAAGACAATGTGAACAGTTTCAAGTGAACAAAATCAAGTATAAATCGGGCATTGGAACTGAATTACAAATGACAATAAACTTTAGTACAAAATTTTAGTACAAAATCAGGTAACAAATCTTTACCAAACTTTGCAATCCAAGCTTGGTACACAGAATGGTAAGGTTTCTTACTAGCATTTCATTGTAATTACTTATACATTAAAATTAAAAGAATATTTGATTTAAAATTCTTCAGTACTTCAGAATTTTAGATACTGAAATTAACAACTCACAATTTCCTAAAGGAGACAGAACAGAGTACAGTCTTCCACTCACCTTCATATGAGTACATTCTTTGTAACAAAGAGAACAGGTATGTGGAAAGATTCTCGGTGAGGCCGCTGCATAGTCATGCATCATGGCCAGCGTTGGCAGATGCTTGGAGACCTTTGCTGGAGGCTGCTTGCTCAGTGTTGGGAGCGACTGAGACAGAGCTGGAGGAATGACGATGGGGCGAGGATTGCCTGGATGTTGCATGGCCCATGAGGCATCAGAGAGGCTGGGGATGAGTGAAGCAGGGGGAACTGATTTTGCAGCAGGCCCCATCGCTTGCCCCATCTGCAATTGCTGCTTTTTCTGCTGCCGCTTCAATTTTTGCTTAATTTGCCTTTTCAGCCTCTGCTGCTGGGTCTTTTGCTTTTTCAATCGCTCAGGAACTGCTGACCCTTGAACTCGAGTTTTATTCTGATCCTTAGAGCCCCTGGTGTCATTACTGCTAGTGAGCAGAAGTCCAGGTCGGATGGGGTGCATACCATGCAACATAGTGCTGGTTGGTTTGGTCCTCAATGCTGACTGGTGATGTGCCTCTGGTTCTTTTGAAGGAACAGGTTTGGAGGTCTGCAATCGTTTGGTCTGATCATTGCTCGGGGGAGCCACAGACTTCAGTACTGAACTGTACGAAGACCTGAGACTGGGAACAGAAGTCGCCTGCTCATGTGAAGAACCCAAGGCTCTGCTTTTCGCCTCCGTTGTAGTTTTTGGCAGTGGATCTCGACTGTGTCTGCTACTATCGGAAGTGTCCATCGGCAACATACGTCCACCACTGTTAGCTCTACTGCACCTGGTCCTTCCAATTTCATCCCCAACCTCTCCAGTATATTTACCAGTATGTCCATAGTCAATTACTTTACTTGGCTGGCGAGCAGCAGATGACATCTCTTTCTTGCGCAGTCCTGCCCCTCCACTCATGCTTCTGGTGGGTTGGGGTTCGGGGTATGGTTTTGGCTGAGCTGCCGTTGTAGCCATCTTGTCCTTCTGAATGCAGATTTGGCGCAAGATGAACGGCAGGTTAGCAGGAGTGATCTGGTCCTCGGGGTAGGAGAGAAGATAATCAAGGTCCTCTTTTTCAAGTCCAAATTGCAGTAGGATGTTAGACGCTGATTCAGAGGTGTATTGGGGTTGACAAGACTCTATGGGGGCTGCAGGTTTGTCTGGCACTGGATAGTCATAACCTCCTAACCCCGGAATAGACTGCATATCATGTTCTTTTTCTCTGGAAGCATTAAAACTGCTGTCACCACTGTTTGCATAGCTAGACGAAGCAGATGAATAATATTTAGAGTCATAAGCAGTGGGTCTTTTGTAGTTTGATGACCAGTCCAAGGAGCTACTGCCACTTTCAACTTCCGAGTGTCTATGTCCCAGAGAGGCAGAGGTTGAGGACATTGGGTAGGAGGCCATCCCGAAACTGGATCCACGTTGAGAAGATACCGTCCGAGGGTCCTTGCCTGCCTGTATATTCGAAAGTCCATACTGCCCCTGGGTAGAAGTTTGGTTCCCAGAGGCATTGGGGTTATACAGGGGATTGGACATTGTGTTTGGTATCTTCAGAAGGTTAAGGAGATTGATGGCTGCAACACTCGGGGAAGGAGGTGTTGTCAGTATGTAGGTGTGTTGAGGTTTGCTGTAAAGCTTGCGGCTCAGCTGCCAACAGCGAGAGCCTTGTATCTGTGTAGGTCCTAGCTGGGCTTTCAGTTGAACCAACTGCAAGGAGGCCTCCTGCTGGCCAATCAAGAGAAAGCTTCCTTGTTAAGGGCCCTGGAGCAGGAGAAGGGACACAACGCTTCGATAGTAATGCAAAGCTGAAAAGTTAAAAAAAAAAAACAAAGGATGGGGTTATTGAATGAGACTCAACTTCATCTTCTTGGATGGGTAAAATCCATCATCTGGAAGGTTGTGTCTTTAGTTGTCCACTCTGGTATTTCTTGTTGGATAAACATTCATTTGGTCTATTTCACTTCCTGGTCTTCACTAGCAAGACAAAACAGAGGAGGCAAAAGAAACCACGCACAGATAAAGAGAACACTGCTGTTAACAGGAAACAGACACAAACTCATTTATTTCCTTTCCATTCTCATCTCTGTTGGAAATAGTTGAGACTGGCACCACCAGATAGACAAAGCTCATTACAAAATTTAACATCTGAAACCAGCAATGTCCATTTCAGAACATCACAATTATAGATCATACTGGAAGAATCAAACGACTGTAAAAAAAAATTGCTGAATGCTGGTAGTTAATGACAGCCTCAATTGAACCCCCAGTACTCAAAAGTGCAATTATAAGGTTAGATAGATGTTAGTTAATGTAACAAAATACAGATTGAGTCACTATTAGGGTTCAAATGATTTACAATGCGATGGTCTTAAAGTTTATATATACAGAAGTCACTTGCCTCTGGATGTCACACTGGAGCACCAGCATCTCAGACCAAAACAATAGGACAGAAACAAAATAAAACTCACAAAAACCGACTTGGTTAGTCTTTCTAACAATTACCAACGCTGGTTCGGCCAAAATAAATCCGTAATTCCAAGAGTTGGATGTAATAATATTGGCCAGTGGTCGCAATTTAAGTGTGACGTTAAACCTTTGGGACAAATGTGCCCGTCAAACACGTTCTGACAGGCTCAGATTGTGGTTCTAAGTGTTCAACATTGAGGAAAGGACATCCCCATCACTCACAACTCCATAGGAAAAAAAAACTTACCTCACATTTAATTATAATTTAATTTAAAGAGGGCAGAAACAAAATAAGACAGTCTTTGTTATTCTTTCCACCATTCCAACAATCACCGACTCTGCGTTAGTTGAAATACATCTGCACACGGAGCAGACCAGCTATGCAAACAAGCCAGAGTGACGCCGATGGCAGCACAGGCAAAGGGGGTGTGTCGTTTCATTCTCAGCTCAATGATGAGCCATGATCCAACAGCAATTTAGAACATTTCAAGAGTCAACACCTCTCTTACAAAACAAGATAGAAGAACAAGAAGTGATACCAGAAATCATTTGATTGTGCCTCGGTGCCTGTAAAATTCAATTATTTTCACACTTATATCTTTAACTACCTGGTTCCAGGCCAACAAGTCTGTAGTTAAATCCATAGTGTGTCTTTATAATCAGGCCTTTAAAATCTTGGACAAAAAGCAAAACAAGGTACCATGATTGTCGCATTAAGCGTTGAACATTTTATTGATCATCACTATGTAAAGCTTGGTTTAAATTGACTCTCTGCTAGTAACACCAGAGCAGCTTCAAGTGGCAATTGTAAAGTCTTACTGTTTACTCTTTTTTTTACCTTCCTGTTTTAACCTCTTATTTCCATAAAAGCCCCTCTAGGGTGTTGAGAATTCACATCTGCAAAACAGTTTGATACTTGCATTAGATAGCTGTTTTCAGTCTGTCTATGCTCACTGTATCTGTCCCTATAAAATAATATAATAATAATAAACTTTTGGGGGTCTGTACCAAACAAGATTTGTAGGCCAGCACTTACAGTGGTTCATAAGGTTTCCACGATATGGTAAAAACACCACAGATTATTTTGACCTATTTTTTGCGTGTAAACTTTTATTAGTGTGCCTGGAAAGCTCACTACTACTATTCACCACACTTATTATTATCGTTCCGTACGTTTTTCGGTCGACTACTCCTCCCGCAGTTTTGGTCACACGTACACAAAAAAGGCATCAAAACGTGCGGCTCGGCCGGGACATTATTGCTGTGACTTTTCTAAGCGTTTCGCCAAACAGTTTGCCGATAAATCGCCAAAAGACATGCCAAAAAATGAATGGGTGTGTATTGGTAGAATGTTGGAGTGTAGAGGGAGAGAAAATTTGTCGTAAAATACATTTGTAAACTGCTCTCAAGGCCACAAATGTCACTCTACAGAAATAACTTATCGATAGAAACGTAGGTAAATCCGATGGGGTCGCAGTGATAACACTGCTGAAGCTGTTAGACAAATAGTTTTGGCTGGAAATGCACTGATACGCCGGCAACACCCGCTCACGACCCCATCTACTCCCATGTAAACTGGACAGGAGGAATTTTGAAAGGAGCTCGTTGCACCCGTTCTTCCTCAATCTCCAGAGGTCACATTTTTTAACTTTAGCCACTGAAACTCGGCAGTCCTACGGTCAACAAGATGACGATGCTCACGGTCTTTTCGGGTTTCATTTCGGTCCTTCCTGGCCAATGGTTCGAGGGGGTTCATTTTGAGATTTTCTGCGCTCAACTGCTCTTAACTGCCGTGGCCTGGCCCTGGTTGCTTGGCAACAAGCCTGACTGTGAACAGGCATTATTCTGTTGTTTTTCGTTTTTCGTGTTTACTCCGTTTCGGTCGCACATACACAAAAAAAGGTATCAAAACGTGCGGCTCGGGCCGGGACATTAGTGCTACGACTATTCTAAGCGTTTCGCCAAACGGTTTTGCGAAATAAATCGAGTCGGGCCCACTCAAAACTTCTATTGTTATTACACAGCCTGAATAAAAAAACATTGGAAAGATACAACTTATTGCTCCCATACTGTAATGGACTGCATTCAATTATTCATGGTAATGTGGCAACATTTGTCCTTCCATATTCACCCTCACCCGTTCCTGCTATTACTCATCTCATTTCTACTGTGGCATACATTTACTATATATATTTATATATATATTTGGCATATATTGTTTATATTTTATTACTATAAAAAGGTACTTTTTTTTCCTTACATGTATATACCTACATTTATATCATTACCCACTTCTATTCTTTAACATTGTGTGAGCACCTTGAGCTACTGTAATAGACTAATTTCACCCAGGGATCAATAAAGTAATTCTGATTCTGATACTGTGACATAAAAAGTAACAGAGCAAGTTGAATTTATCGATCTTCAAAATACATCTTGGCTTTAACTTAGAAGATAAAACTAATTCAAGGTGCACTGATTGACGGAAGAGTTCAAAGGTCAAACTCACTGATAAGGTTGAGTCCAACCGTCACTAGAAGTTACAGGTGGATAAATCCAAGCACGACTCATTCAAAACGCTGTCAGAAAGTCTCTAGCGTTTTAAAAAACCCGAGTTCAAAGGTCTAAAACGAGTCCGAGCACGCTTCTGCTAACAGGTAGCCTGGAGCTAACCTGTTAGCTCGGGGATGTAAACAAACGCTGAACGCCGTTTCCGGGTTACGTCGTGTTACGCTTCGTGTTGTCATGGCTACGTTTCGGGAGCGTACCTTCCGTTATTTGTGTTTGTCTCGCTGCTGCGTTCAAACTCATCTTCTGGCTGACAGCAGGAAGAAATCCTCAATACTGTATATACACACACACACACACACACACACACACACACACACACACACACACACACACACACACACACACACACACACACACACTTCCGGTTTCGGTGGAGAGCTTTCAGAGTAAAAGCACAGGCGATGTTTTCTTATTATTGCCTATGAATATGTCACTTTTCTGATATTTTTAGGAACTTTTTAAACAATCCTTTGTCTGTATTTTGTTTTTGTTTTCTTTTTGATTTTTTTTAATAATCATACATACTTAATAGGCTTGTTTTATATCAAAAATCTTAAGTAAAACAAACTATTTTGTAAGTTAAAAGCATTCTTGATTAAGCACTTTTTACTTACTTAGTAAAATGTTTAACTTATCTGGTTTTTACAGTGTAATCTAACTTTGTTGAAACATTGAGATAATGCAGACATTTTTAAAGTTTTCGTTTTTCTTTTTCCCTTAAAATCAAGAAGTACTCTCTCTTCATTGTATTTGATACAGTGCAATAATACATGTTCAACATGTATCACTTATATTACAATGCACACATACTTGTGAATTTACCTTACCCAATAAAAATAATGTCTTATTTAAACCAAAGTGTGGTCTATAAATAAATGTTTCATACTGGATGTTCTTCCAGTGTCACATAAGTCCCAGTATTCCTCCCAATGACCCTTTTATGATCATTTTAAGTTCTGCTTTACATAGTGGTACATTTTATTGATTGTCTTTTGTCAATATATCCACCTTCTCATTTTCACTCCTACAGGAGCAGGAACCCAAAGGAAGGAGACATCCAATCCCCTTTAATATAGCCCATATAGTATGTGAGGGATTTCATAAAGTATATCCTTCCTCTGTGATGGCTTTCCTTATCTGATGCTTGAAAGTGCTGATACGTTATCAGAATCAATAACTATATTGGACTGATTGTTTTTGTCCACCCATTCCAATGCTAACAGTATTCTGTATACTTTTTCACTGTTTTGTCACAATGTGGGACGATGGTACATTGAAGACGTTCATCCTTAAATTGATTGATACTGGGCTTGGGGAGTAACAGATTACATGTAACAGAGTCAGCATACAAAAAAAGGTTTCCATTTAGTAAAAAAAGGGGGTTTATTTAGCCGGATTATACTCAGTTTTTCTTTACATACACAAGCAGAGGCTGTTTCAAAAGGTTACATTCTCTTTTGATACACTTGAATCAATACTTCATACTAATATTTATTTTCTCTCGTCTTTATTTGGTTGAAGATTGTACCTTATTCATATGTAAGAATTCAGAATTAACTTGAAAAATAATCACACTAAAGGTCAGACCAATTTATGTGAGGGATGTTTGTATTTATGATAATATATTTGTTAAGTCATGTTTTCAACCCTCAACCTTATCATCAGCCTATCTTCTTGTCCACAGACTACATGTCATAAGTCTGTTATTAGTACTTTCATCAGACAATATCTGGAAATCAAAGCCACAGAAATAGTAGCTACACAGTAATATAAAGTGTATCCATTAGATTAAAAGTGGGGGGAAACATTCTGCCACACGGCGGCGCTTTACACACAGAAATGACAAATTTCATTTAATAGTATTTAAAACCCTGTAAGGCTGGTTTCTGTTACCATTTTCCACCACAAACATGTTGATATGAAGGGACTAGGCAATAATAAGATAACAACCCACCTCTTTTCCAAATAAACATATTATTATATCATATGTGATGATTGTCTATACAAATGAGGCAACATAAACCAGCATTTCCCTCAAATGCAATAATTGCATTTGAGGGAATGAAATTGGGTTGTGTAAAGTGTGTCAGCAGATGGAAATGTTAGTATCTTCAAATATAGTTATTTGCTTTTAACATTTGGATCAAAAAGTTCAGAAATTTAACTTAAAAACAGGATGATTGATGTCTTGAATGTTGACCAAGTCTGCAGATAAAAGAAACATGAGAAATTATGAGATGAATGCCTCATAATGGACGATAAAGTTTATTTGAAAACATATTACACAAAATATTTAAATTGAACATCACTTATATTATATGTAACCACCCGAAAAGCCTTTTGAGGAAAAGACACATGTTTGATTGTTTTTTCCCTACTTTTAGCCTTTATGCTATATGCTAAGCTAACAGACAGACCCGAGAGTTCAATTATTCCTTTAACAACACTATTAATCTACTTTGAGGTGAATGCCAGTAAAATATTTATCAACATTGTACAAATTTTCTTTCAATTGCTTAACCTCTTCAATTCAATTATGTATGTCATACCTCAGATGTATAGGCCTTTATAGTTATATACTGTATATATATATATATATATAGAGAGAGAGAGAGAGAGAGCTGTCTATTATAAGCACTATAAGCATTTTACTTGTTTTAATTTGGTTTAAGAATGTTACAAATGGCACAAATTAACAAATTTAACACTTTACTTTCATGCATAAATTGTGATAATTATCTAAACTGGACAAAACTGAGTACTTTAGAGTGTGAGAAAGATATTCTACCATCAAAAAGAGACAGTAAACAGTTAAATTTTGTGTATTTTACACAGTTGTTGTCATAAAGTGGCTACGAAGATGTGTGCTGTCTTTTCAACCCAACATGTACATGTAAAAATTGAATAATCATCCTGATGTGTCATTGTTGCGGTACATTTCTGGTCAGTGGCAAACTCAAGAGAGGGGAAGTTGAAGATTGGTTGTCCACATAATTTTGACCATGTCATCTTTGCTGCGTTCTTCATCTCAGATAGTTTATCCAAACACTGAACATTTAACCCATTTGTATGTTTTATAATACTCCAGCACGTATTAAACACTGTGGTAGCCCTCAGAGAAGCTATTATTATTATGGCGCCACCGCGAGTGGCAGCCCTTTCAGCAGCTCCTAGTGTGCAGTGATCTTTTTTGACTTTTTATTATTAGGGGCCGAGCACTAACAAGTGCAAGGACCCTTTTGTTCTTCTAGGAATTATTATTATTTTTCTGCCAGTACGACCGAATATTTGACCCCTGCAGCATGCTCAAAAAGTCATGAAAATTTGCACAAAATTCAAACGTATCAAAACTCCCGATATGACATTGTCCCCGTGCACGGGCGCCGCCAAACGTCTAAGTCACGCCCCCCAGAATCAGCCCCCAAGACATGTAAGGCCCACATGTACGAAAATTCCTACGCATGTGTATCATGACAAAAGAAGCAGAAAAGCCTCTTGGACCCATGCCCCAAAACCCGCAGGAAGTCTGCAATTTAGTGGTCATTTTGACTTTTTGGGCTTGTATTTGAACAAACTCCTCCTAGGGAATTTCTGGGATCTGCTTCAGAATTGGTCAGTACAGTCAAAAAATGTTGCTGTATGAACGCTGTTCATTTTTTCACTGTACGTTGAAGGGCGTGTCCATGGCGTGCCGTCAAAGTTGGCCATTTTTAACGAATGTCACGCTGTGATGTCATTTTTGGCATTTCAGGGCTTCTATTTTAACTAACTCCTCCTACAGGTTTTATTGGATCTACTTCAAAATTGGTGAGTGCAGTCAAAACATGGTGCTGAATGAATGCTGTTCATTTTTTGACTGTACGTTGAAGGGTGTGTCCATGGCGTGCCGCCGAAGACAAAGTCCTGGGCTGGTGTGGTTTCCCAGTTACCTGACGAGGTGAGGAGACCCTATCGTGGTTGCAGAGCCGGCGCAAATCTAAAGGCCAAGCGACTGGCGAAGAAGTGGTGATATAAACCCTCTGTACCATCGGTGATCATGGGAAATGTTAACTCACTACAGAACAAGATCGACAAACTGGCTGCGCTGGTGAAAAACGTTAAAATCTACAGGGAGAGCAGTTTGCTGTGCTTCACTGAAACGTGGCTAACGGCTAACGTCCCGGACGTTAACGTTGAGCTGCCCGGCTTCAGCACTGTCAGGTCGGACAGAGACACTAAAGCCTGTGGGAAGCGGAAAGGAGGCGGACTAGCTGTATATGTGAACACAAGGTGGTGTAACCCTGGACATGTGAACATCAAGATTTCCATCTGCAACAGGGACGTTGAGCTGCTTGCCGTAGGGTTGCGACCTTTCTACTTGCCCAGAGAGTTTGTTAATCTCTGGGGACTTTAATCACGTTACTCTGGACACAACACTACCTGCTTTCTTCCAGTATGTGGACTGTTACACCAGGAGAAATAAGACTATTGACCTACTGTATGCAAACGTTAAGGACGCATACAGCGCCATTTATTCTACTTCATTCTATTAGTTCTTCTAAATTTGACCTCCTCTTATTATTGTTATTATTATTATTATTATTATTATTATTATTATTATTATTATTATTATCAGTTTGTGGATACTGCTGGAAACTGTGAATTTCCCCTTGGGGATGAATAAAGTATCTATCTAATCTAATCTAATTAAATCAATTTAGTGGAGTCAACTAATCTTTTCTCATTACCTCAACGTAAACATACAAGTTTATTAAACTTTGTAGTTTGTATTTTTCGGACCACTTATAAACATGACTTCTTCTAACTTTTATAAGAGGTTTTCGACTTGAAATGATGAGTTGAATGAATGTGCTGTACGGAGGCCTTGTAATGTTTGTCGTTGTGACGGTTGTTGGTTCCACCTAATATCTTAAACTTATTAAATAAGTTTTCTCAAGTTCAGTTAACTCATTTGGTTTTACAATTCAAGACATGCGTTGGCCCATTCTCTCAATTCCGTGAAGTCACTGAATATGACAAGTCACCGTGATAGATTACTACCCTTAATCTGAAGTCTGGGGACACATGACTTTGGGGATGTAGGACATGGAAACAAAGGACCCTGGGAGAGAACAGATGTAGAACTGGAAAACATAGGACCCTTTGCAGTGCTGTAGTACTCAAGTCCAGTCTCCTATAGATTAACAACACTATTAATCTACTTTGAGGTGAATGCCAGTAAAATATTTATCAACATTGTAAACATTTTCTATCAATTGCTTAACCCCATCAATTCAATTATGTATGTCATGTCATATTTATCAGAGCTGTCTATTATAAGCACTATAAGCATTATACTTGTTTTAATTTGGTTTAAGAATGTTACAAATGGCACAAATTAACAAATTTAACGCTTTACTTTCATGCATAAATTGTGATAATTATCTAAACTGGACAAAACTGAGTACTTTAGAGTGTGGGAAAGATATTCTACCATCAAAAAGAGACAGTAAACGTTTAAATATCTGTGTGATTTTACACAGTTGTTGTCATAAAGTGGCTACGAAGATGTGTGCTGTCTTTTCAACCCAACATGTACATGTAAAAATTGAATAATCATCCTGATGTGTCATTGTTTCGGTACATTTCTGGTCAGTGGCAAACTCAAGAGAGGGGAAGTTGAAGATTGGTTGTCCACATAATTTTGACCATGTCATCTTTGCTGCGTTCTTCATCTCAGATAGTTTATCCAAACTTATCCTCCCGTAGTTTTGGTCGCACATACACAAAAAGGCATCAAAACGTGCGGCTCAGGCCGGGACATTAGTGCTACGACTTTTCTAAGCGTTTCGCCAAACAGTTTGCCGATAAATCGAGTCGGGCCCACTCAAAACTTCTATTGTTATTACACAGCCTGAATAAAAAAACATTGGAAAGATACAACTTATTGCTCCCATACTGTAATGGACTGCATTCAATTATTCATGGTAATGTGGCAACATTTGTCCTTCCATATTCACTCTCACCCGTTCCTGCTATTACTCATCTCATTTCTACTGTGGCATACATTTACTATATATATATATATATATTTGGCATATATTGTATATATTTTATTACTATAAAAAGGTACTTTTTTTCCCCTTACATGTATATACCTACATTTATATCATCACCCACTTCTATTCTTTAACATTGTGTGAGCACCTTGAGCTACTGTAATAGACAAATTTCATCCAGGGATCAATAAAGTAATTCTGATTCTGATACTGTATCATAAAAGTAACAGAGCAAGTTGAATTTATCGATCTTCAAAAAGCATCTTGGCTTTAACTTAGAAGATAAAACTAACATTCTTTATATTGTCTCAGACTTGTTGGTATTTGCACTCGGACACTCGGACTTGACCCTTGGTCTCGACTGAGTCCAGCAATATATGTTTGTTTTTTCTCTGAAGTAACTTCGTCCTTGTTCAGAAAATGGGTATTGATTTAATTGAATTATTTGAATAATTCTTATTATAACGAGTCAACTGGAGAGATTTAAGGTGAGCCAACTCATGGAGATAACGTTAGATTAATTAGCTATCTTGCTACAGCTGGTAAAAGTCTGCTAACAAAAGCTGCAATTTCAGAAAATATGAAGGTCATCAATGAAAAAAGCAAACGCTTTTGTATTTTGCTTCATTCTGAGCAAAAAGAAAACTTAATTTTAAAGGTGGTCTGACAAAAACAGACATATCGAGTTTGAATATTTCCATCCTCTATTAACAAAGTGAACAAATTAACATATTTTCTATATATTCTATATATTATATATTATAACAGTTTTTCTCAAAAGAGAAGTTGAGAAATGATTTCATCAGAGTTATCGTTCTATCAGTGCTGCACAATTATCACAGTCTCACCAAGTGTGATGAGGAAGTTCACTTAATGCTAAATCATCCAACAGCAGCAGAAAACAGGGAACTGTGTGCAAATATTAATAGAAAATAGACCAGACGGCAATAACTTTATAGTTTTAATTGTATTGCTTTGTTGAAGAAATTTAAAAGTAAAATTAATCAAATTCAACTTGAAGAATGCCAGTTCTCAGGATGCTATCTTAGATTGTTAATCATGTTAGTGCTACTACCCTGCTGGGTATCACTGCTAATTAATGGGTGTATACGTGTAAATAACTGTATATAATGATTTATCTTATTTTCTGTGTTATTCTACAAATTGAATTACCCTTTTCTATGTGTGTAGCATGAAGGGACTGCAAACTACTTACACAACCTTGTGTTGTATAATTAAAATTTCCATGATTCCTTATATATATGTATGTATATACTGTATATATGTAGATTTTCTGTTTTTCGATTCAATTTTATTTGTATAGTGCCAATTCATAACAAAAGCTATCTCAGGGGACTTAAATCCTGAGATAACACTCAAATACAGCAGGTTTAGTATTCCTTATAAAATTATTTACAGCAACCCAACAGTTTGCACCATGAGCAAACACTTGGGAAAAACATCCTTTTAAGAGGCAGAAACCTCGAGCAGACCCTGGCTCTGGGTGGGTGGCCGTCTGCCTTTGGGTTAAAGAGAAAGAGAGAGGACAAGAACAACACTGCAACAACAATAGCAACAACTATAATAGTAGATAATAGTAGAAATTACTGATGATGATGACCACAACAGCCACAATGATGGGGAATGATGCTTTATAATAATGATAATAATAATATGACCTACTACTATTACTACTAATAATAATAATATTAACAGGAGGCACCACCAGGATCCATTAGAACCTGCGAGTCGAGAAAAGCACAAATATTATTGGGATATGAATGTGTGCAGAAAGAGAGGAGCTCATGGGAAGTCTAGGCTTATAGCAGCATAACTAAGGGATGGTTCAGGACTTTCAACAAACTTGTATGGGATGTATACTAAAATAGCATAGTCTCTAAGTTATCATTCATTTCACAGATTGATTTAATAAGTTGACGTAATTTAATAATGTGGAATGATTTTAATATTTTAGGGACTATTTTGTCGATTTAGCCCTGTAATTTTATCCTTTGTCAGTTAACATGCACTGTCATTTGTATTTGTCACGACATGTTATCTTTATGTTATTTTTTATCTTTTCTACCTCAGTATTTTATTCTATTGTATTTTTATTGTATTTAAATGTACCTGGCTGCTATGATGACCCAATTTCCCTTCAGGGATTAATAAAGTCTATCTATCTATCTATCTATCTATCTATCTATCTATCTATCTATCTATCTATCTATCTATCTATCTTGTGTATTTGTCTTAGACTTCACAAAATGATGTCTATGTTATGTGCCAAGAACATAGTAATGCTGTATACATTAAAACAAATTGAATTTCACATTACACACATTAACTGATCATAATAGTGTTTGTTCATGGTGAGAACTGAGTATATCTGATCAACACATAGATAACGTGTTTCTATGTGTGTGTTTTCATATCTCTTCCTCTCTTCCTATTTTGTAATAGATGACAAATAAGTAACTATTTAAGATCTGATCTTTCTCTTGTCGAAAACAGAAGCTACAGGCTTCAGACAAGATCATTCTGCTGCAGGTTTTCTACAAACTCTTTTATCTTACTTCCTTTAATGCATTGACAGTCGCCTGCTCCCTACTTGATGTTACTCACATGTTTGTGTCTGTTTATTGAAGGTTATCTTCATCATTCCCAACATGAAGATACTGACTGCGATTGCAGTTCTCTGTGCCATGATGGCTCTGACCAGAGCTTTTGGTAAGTGATATAGAGATGGTATTATGTATAATGAACTGAGAGGTATTTTATTTACATATCTTGAGATGACCCAAGTCAATAACTGCTTTGTCAAACTGTCCAGCTCTTCCAGAAGCCGAGGCCAAGGATGATCAAACAGGTCAGTTGGTCTTCTTTTATTAGATTTTTATTAATATGCATTACACTGTCCAAGATTCTGTTAAATTGCCTGATTTTACCTTCTAAAAGGATTTGGCTTAGAGCAGTGTATCTCTTTTTATACCGCATACTCAGAAATACTCTCCAGGTATCACTATTATGACAGATGTTAAAATATCGTAACATAAGACGTGGAGGCAGGCTGTATCTTGAATGGAACCAGTTCAAGAACCAGAGCTAATTTGGTCCACACGTAACTAATTGTAGATGTGTGTGGATGCTACGTTCTTGAATGTGACTCTATAATATCGCAACAAAATTACAGGAAAGGCAAAACATATTTTACATTACATTTCAGTGACCGCAAAGTTTACATATTTTCATCTTGACGCATTATAGTTTGAGAACCAGGGGCTTAGAGGGTAGAAGTAGTTAGTCCTAGTATTATAAGTACAGTATGTCAAAGAAAAATGTAAGATCAGACTGTTGTTTTCTTCTAATATTTTAGAAAAGCTAAAAAAAGACACTCAAGACGTTTTTTATATCATCTCACTTGTCACTTGGAAGTATTTGCAGTTGGACTTGACCATTGGTCTCACAAAATATTCTATTTGCTCTCAACCAGCAATATATATCTGTATTTTTTTTATTTAAAAACAAAACCATTGATGCAGTACTCTTGTTAAGAAAACAAGTATTGGTTTAGGGTTCAAAATCCATCTAGAACGGACATTTCGATAAGGATTTGGAAGTGACATTCAATACTTACAATCTTATGAACTGGTCTCTCTTATTTGGACTCGGTCCTGACTCGTTCCTAGTCCTGGTGTTGGACTCGACAAAGGTGGTATTTCCCAAAATGTCAAACTATTCCTTTAAAATCAACTCGAAAACTGTCGTGTAACCAGTGTAGAGAGGTTAACAATAGGGGTGAAGGGATCCTTTCTTTTTGAAGTGAGGTTTATTTTCTCACGGGCAATAATCTAAACTTGTAGATCAATAAAGCCTCATCTGTTATTTTATTACATGTTCTCAGTAAAGAGTCACCTGGTCAAGAGGTCAACAGCTTGTCCCAATGGGTGGTCTCTGTTCAACGATCGCTGTTTCCACTACTATCCAAGACCCACAACTTGGGCTAAAGCTGAGGTAATCAGGAGGATTTCGATTTATGTTTGTCTCGACTTGCATTCTTGGTTTCTTTTTCTGACTTGCTGTCGTTCAGTTTTTATTTGTTTCAACTCTGCTCTCTGTCTGTTAATCTCCACTGTAGAAAAACTGCCAGTCCTTGGGTGCAAACCTTGCATCAGTACAGAACATACAGGAGTACCATGAGATTCAGAGGCTGATTACGGCCGCAAGTTATCAGTCTAAGGAGGCATGGCTCGGAGGCTCTGATGCACAAGAGGTATTTTTAATCATAACTGCACAAGACCCAACATGTCATTTGATTAAACCGGTTTAATTTGTGTAATATTCTGTTTTCTTGTCTAGGAGCGTCTTTGGCTGTGGAGTGATGGTTCTCCTTTCAGCTATCTGAACTGGTGTAACGGACAGCCTGACAACTATCGCGGCCAGCAGCACTGTTTGCAAATGAACTTTGGAGGTAAATCAAATTAACTTATTTCTATTGAAGAGTATATAGCGTTTAAACTTGTAATACTTAAAGTTTCATGCCTGATTGATTTGGCAACACCTGTGGTTATCATAGTAACAGCAAACACTACCTTAATACTACAGCACCTGAATTCTGGAGACATTTTACAGCTACTTTGTAAAGCCCAGTTCGAGACGAAACTGTTTCTTGATTTTGTCTCAATCTGTCTCCTCTGAATGTTTAAATCAGGAAGCACAATGATGTTATAGCAGACAACAGTTTCCATTTGACATAGAGATTGTTTGTATTTACAGCCGACAAATGCTGGGATGATGTCGGCTGTCTTATTTCCCGCCCATTTGTCTGCGCCAAGAAAGTCTGATGAATCCTGGGCTGCCAGAGAGGCATCAAGTACCTGTCGAGAGCAACAAACACACTGTTTTTTGTGTCATCAGTCTTATAACTTGAAGGCTCTATATTTCTTCTTTTTTTCTATTGCTGTTAAGCTACTTAAGGAATGAGAGAGGAGGAGCTGGATTGTCTCTTAGGCCTTAAATATTTTAAGAAGAGCAGACTGAAATTAATGCTTTTAGCAACTTATTCTGGAGGGTGAACTGGTTTTTCTTGTTTTATGCAAAATTAAAAGTCTCAAGCATTGAAACAATCTGGTCTATGAGTGATGTGTTTGTAAGATTAGTGGACTGACTGTGATGTACAGTATGCAGACTACAAAACAGAGAAATACAGGAATATTGGTGATTCGGGACAAGAGATCGACTGGGACTAGGAACGTTTATTTTATGTATATTTTCTGATGTGAAGTTAATGACACGCTTCAGTGCTGATGGCATGAATTGCAGTATCTTTATTTTAAGTGAATTAGTGATGAATCACCATCATACACAAATCATACCTCAATATCATCAGTAGTAGCCCGAGTTTACACATAATCCCTGAGGATGACTATACAGAAAACTGCATGGCAAAAGTAGCAGGTTCTCTATATTTTAGAGACCCCTCAAAATTTCACAAATCATGTTTTCAGGGGAGTTCATTAAGTTGAGCCCGGCTCCGCTGTAGTTGGGACCCTGGTAATAAGAAGATATTTTATCACAGAAATATGCCATTAATGCTGCATCAACATCATATAGGAAAGTTCTTGTTTGCAACTGTGTACCGGACACCATTTTGTTTTGTTTAATAGTGCCACCATCTGGAGAAACTGGTAATTATTCAAACAGATATATGCCAGGGAGCATTTCACCTTCAGGTGCAAGACTGTTCTGTATTTTTAAAATGTATTCAGAGTAGGGACAAATCATCTGGTTCCATTGCAAGCAGTTTTAAAGCTGTTCAGTAATCCATTTTTTTTTTTTTTTTTTTTCATTTTGGCCATTTGGATGCATTGAAATAAAACATAAACACAGCTGATATATACCTAAAGTTAAGTTGCTATTGCAAACAATCTACACATCCACCAGACACAGAGCAACATTAACATACATTTAGAGTCAGGTTTATAGTCACCTAATGAGTCTTACTCATTGTCCACTGCACAATTTACAACATAAATTACTTCAACAAATGATTATAGTTTGGCAAAAACTTTTCCAAATTTTAAAGGGGGTTTTAGGGTTATAGACTATAGACTATATATATATAACATTCTTATAATATTCAACCACAACAGGTGTTTACTTACCCCTGAATCGAGGGACAGAGGTTGTTGAACCTTGTACAAATTGTGAAGCCTCTGAGGCAAACTTTTTAGACAGGCTCTGATAGGGTGCTGCAGGTACACCTCTTACAAGAATTTCTCCATCTCACCGCTTGAACCTTGATTTGTAAACAACACAAAGGGTAATTTACTGTATATAAGAGCTGGCATTTCTCTTGTTCAGCACCTGAACACAAGAAGGTCGAAGCTACAAGCGGACAAAGAAGATAATCCAGCTGGAGGTTTGCTTCAACTCTCTTTCTCTCTCTGCTCTGTCTTCATCATTGTCTCTACGTCCTCTGATGAATTCTGACAGCCACTAGTACTGTCCTCACATCTCTTCTGAGGTATTACCAACGTGTCTGTTTCTCTTTATTAAAGATCATGAAGATGCTGACTGTGTCTCTACTCGTCTGTGCCATGATGGCTTGGACCACAGCTGCTGGTGATTATGAGCTGCTCATTTTATTTATATTTGCAATCGATGCTTCCTGAAAAAGAGGTCAATGTTCCCTCTTCTGAACCCGAAGGAGTTCCTGCACTGTAATGTGATAAGTTACTTTAACGCAAAACAATTGTTGAAACAGATTACACAGAAAATTTAACAACAAAGTAACACAAACTCTTTTTAATTTAAAAAAGATTCCTAATTAAGCGACTTTTAGTAGTAATTTTAAGCGGCACTAACTTAGGTTTGTAAGTCACAGAAAAAGATTAAAGATCCTGATTAAGTACTTTTATATTTATTGAAGTATTTTGTTTTTAGTAGTAGTTTTACTTAGATTTTTAGATGTAATGACTTTTAAACTTTTTTTTTAATTAGATGACCTCTTTTGGTTTAAGAGTGTGTTTTCTTGTTTTGGTTCCTCTCACTTTTTTTTACCAACTGTGGTTTAGTTTGTCAGTGCAATATAAAAGTCCTGCACCTCTATGGAAACAGGGAGATATCAAAAATGACTTTTGTGAAGTATAACAGTTATAACGGGGTAAATTATTTATATAATATATAGCATTTTTCAACAAGCTTTAATTAATACTTTTTTTAATTAATACTAGTTTAAATATTAAGTACATGTCAAATATCGTGGGATGAATCCTTGCCTTCCATGTTATCTATCTTTATGTAAAGACAGCCTGTTCATGGTATAACTGTCATGTGACTGTTGGTCTCAGCCGAGTCACTGTAGCTTTGTAATTGCTCTGAGGAGCGCTTAATTTAAAACAAGAAAGCAACGTTATATATATATATAAACTATCAAACAATTTGTCAGCCTTTTTTGACCTTTGTTGACAATGTAACCAATCTTTCTGTCACTTTTGATGAAAATGAGTTTGCATGCAGTTATTGTGTATGTAGAGTAACAACAGAAGATGAACTGAGTCACTAAGTGCTGTGTCAAAACCTCCAGCTGTTCCAGAAGCAGAGACCGGTGAAGGGACAGAATTATCCATCCAAGGAGGTGACTTAAACTTCTTACTCTTATGACTCTGTGAAGTATTTAAATGTCTTTTTAGGGCTAAAACTATATTGGTTCTGCCTCCCTGTTCTCGCCAGTTCAATTAAGAATTCTGTAGGTCTGGCGCATTGATGGAGATCTGCTTTGGTGCGTCTCAATATTCACTTCTTTTCTAAATTTGTTTTCAGGGAATAGTCACGTCGCTTGTCCCACTGGTTGGACTGGTTACAACGATCGCTGTTTCATCTATATTCCAACAGAAATGACTTGGGCAGATGCTGAGGTAATCAGGATGATTTGGCTTCAGTGCAGTGCAATGTAACAAAGTACATTTACTTCAGTGCTGTACTTATTTGAGTCACAAGTCACTCTTTCTATACTTATTATTTAGGGAAATATAACTTATTTATCCCGAGGGAAATTCAAGCATCCAGTAGCAGCATACAAACATAAATTAGACATACATTAAACATACATTCATACATTACACGTACATTAAAATTATTCCTTTAAAAGTCCAGTATGTATGTCTACACTACATCCAATTTGCTGTTATTAGCTTCTAATTTGGCGTCTTTGGTATGTAATGTATCTGTTGTATGGCTCCACACTACATCCTCCATCCTCTCTGTGCTTGCGTAGAAAAATTGTCAGGATCGGGGTGGAAACCTGGCATCGGTGCACAGCTTTGAGGAGCATCAAGCGATTCAGGGTATGATCCTGATTCTCACTCAGGCGTATCCACTCACATGGCTTGGAGGCTACGATGCGGCACAGGTATGTCACTGACTGCACAAAATGTAAAACACTGTAAATAAAACCTTTACTTTTAAACATCTGTTGTGTTATATTCCAATCGTCTAGGAGGGTGCCTGGTTCTGGAGTGATGGTACACGTTTCCAGTTTAACTTCTGGGATCAAGGACAGCCTGATAATCGTGCAAATGCACACTGTATGTTGATGAACTTTGGAGGTAAGCAAATATATAGCTTCAGAAACATTTTCCTTTTTTTCATCAGTAAAAGTGATGATAATGGTAAATTTTACAAGGATGTTTGAACTTCTCAAAACCCTTCACTCTATTCAACAACTAAGAACATGTAATACCAGTAACGACCAGAAACCACTACCTCTTAACCGTAGATCAGATAATATCTTGGCTTGACAGAGGAGGGAAAGCTGGAAGTTGTGTCTTTATGTTTGAGCTGCTCTCATTGGCTGCACAGTTTTGACTCATCTGTAGCAGGAAACGATGGGGGTTCGCCTGCTCACACACGATCTCGTATTACAGATAGACAGACAGCCATTACATAGAATACAGGTTTACGTGACACCTCCACATTGGCTTCACTTCAAGACCCGGAAGCTCTGTCCATTATATATACTATCAGTGTTCGCCTGCTCACACACAATCTCGTATTACAGATAGACAGTAAAATATGGTTGTGAAACGATTTTAGGAGAGAAATAGTCAACGCAGTAACAGAATCTGGATCCATATCTGATCAGCACTGCCTAGTTTGACAGTTTGATCTGAGTTTGGTGCGTTGAGCTGGAAGGACTCATTGAGAATGAGCTGTCAATCACAAGGTAGCCCTGCCCTAAAGCATACCCTGTTTTATGGTCTATTACAAGTAAACTAGATATTGAGACCATAAACTCATTAGGAAACTCTTTACTTAGCTCATAAATTGGCACAATTGCTGATTTCTCCATAAGACTGCATAGTAGCGGTTTTTATTGCAGCTGATGGAGCTGCCACCTGCTGGCATTTACATAGAATGCAGGTTTATGACACTTCCACATTGGCTTCACTTGACAGACCCGGAAACTCTGTCCATTATATATACTATCAGTGATATATACATATGCTTGGCCTAATTGTGATGGTTCATTGGTTGTCTAAATAACTCCCTGTCTTTTTACAGATCAGAAGAAATATGACGACCAGCCTTGCTCTTTCACAAAGCCGTTTGTCTGTGCCAGAAAGCTATGATATCTCTTTGGACAACAGAGAAACATGCTGTACACTCTAGGATTTTAGGCCTTTCATTCTGGAGAGTCAACTGTTTGTTTTTTTTTTCTTGTCTTGTACACAATTAAAAGGCTTGAGCATTGAAAAACTGTGAGTCACATATAACTTTAAATACAACACTATGAGGTGGAGGAGAGTCTGTATCACACAGAAAGGTTAAAAATGGATCAATGATATTAAAAAGACCAAAATATTGACCCAGTATATAAAAAAGTTTACTGGATGGTAACAAAAGACTGATAATAGCAGTCCGATCAGACAAACAAATCCATAAAGAGGCAGGCAATATCTAAACGCTCAACATGCCCTCATTGACTTCCGCTCTACACCTCCATTTATAATGTACGTAAAACTGGTTATTAAATTCAGTGCACACTGAAAACTACTGAAAACATATCTATGAATATTGTGATCCATTTCTGAGATCCTACCAAATGTTAAACACTGGAACTTTAACTTTTCATGTATTCTTTAGGCTGTATTGAGCAACTGGTATTTTCTCAGAACACCTAGAACCTAGAACGAATAACAATGAAACAAAACACTGATTAATAGATCGGCTGTCAGGTCTTTATCATTTGATCATATTTTAGTATGAAGTACTCCAGTTTGCCTTGTTAACTTTTTGCTACTGCATTATGCTGTTCATACAAACTCAACACTTCCTGTTTCTGTTTCAAATTAAAAACCCTGTAGCACTTCAGTGGAAAGACTCCCTTCATGTCCAAAAAAGGCTTTTATTGTGAAGAATTTACAGTTGTTTCATTCAATTCATTGATATACACCGTTCCCATATACTGTCTTCACATTTAGCTGCTGCCACCTTGTGACACTTGTGCGTTACTACAAAATGCAGTTTGGCTGTGAAATAATTAACACACATACACCTGCAGTGGCTGAAACTGATTTTAACACCTGCTGGCCAATCAGAAATCAGTGCTTTCTGTTGCTGCAATCTAATGTGAGATATTGGCACTTCTACATAGTGTTGCTCTCAAACATGTAATACAATATTTTGTGTTATTTGTGATACATGTGTGTTGTTCCCCTCCTTCTATGTTCAGGCACTCAAACCAACCGCTACAAACAGTTGTGTTTGAATTCCAGTTATTTTGTAAACAATTAATCTGAGGTTGACAAAGTTAGGGAGCACATATTGACCCAAAAAATGCTCAAATTGGTGTTGTTTCACAGCATGAAATGTAACAGTAATGACAAACAAGGGCCAAATAGCTGTGTTTGAAAGTTTGACCAGATATCTTTGTTGTTAGATTTTATTTAGAAAAGAAAATGCATAATAATTTCATCATTATAAAAATACATTTCCTATTAACTAAAATATATTGTTGAGAAAATTTCTTTCTGAAGATGTACATTTTATTATGACGATTTGTTAAAAGTCTAAAAGGCACTTTTTAAGGATAATGACCAATTTAGGAGGATCTATTGGCAGAAATGGAATATAAAATTCATAGGTATATTTTAATTAGTGTATAATCACCCGAATGTATGAATTATTGTTTCTACAGTAGCCCAGAACAGACAAACCACACTGCGTGTAGATTAATAGTTAGTTATTAGTTGCAATCTGCAACTTCACCGCTAGATGCCACTAAATCCTACACACTGGTCCTTTAACAACACTATTAATACATACTTTCAGGTGAATGCCACTAATATTTATTAACATTGTACAAATCTTCTATCAATTACTCAACCTCTTTAATTCAATTATTTATGTCAAACATCAAATGTATAGGCCTTATATGTATCAAAGCTGTGCACCTTCATGAATAAATTGTTAACTAGAATCACAAATGGATGAAATATTACATTTGTGAACATCTATGGTTTATTTTGAGATTTTTAATTTTATTTGATTATCTGTGTGATTATACACAATTGTTTTTTAAAAAAAATAGTCCTTCCATGTAGGAGACAGTGTTTTGGGTTTCCAAACTGACATGTAGATAAAATCATATGAAACTGAATATTAATTCTGATGTGTCATTGTTACAGTATATTTCTTATCATTGGCAGACTGAAGAGAGAGGATGCTGAAGATGGTTTATCCTAAGTCTGCCGCATAATTTTCATAGTGTCATCTTTGCTGTGAGGACAAAGATCTAAAAAAGACCTTGAAGGCCAGATGCCTTATCCAAACACTTGGTCTACCTTTTTGTATTTTTTATAATACTCCAGCATGTAGGTGCATATATTAAACAGCCACCAAAAATCTAATCAAAACACTAGAAGCTGCCTCCTGAATTCCTGTACACTGAAAAGAGTAAAACAAGGCTGTTGTTAGTTTAATGTGTTTTTGTATCATTGTAACGATGATTATTTTCTTCATTAAAAGTAAACTTTCTAAATTATCTTTGGAAAATGGCAGTGGACATCAAACTGCAATTACTCATTCGATCAAGGCATTTTTGTTAGATTCCATTTTTTTGAAAACATCACAGATGAATCTGACGGTCTTGCAGTGACCAGTAACCAAACGACTCCCTCCAGTGAGCCTGCAACAACTTAGAAGACCAAGCAAAGTTCATATAGGTAAGGAAAAAAGCTGTAGCGTTAACGTTAGTCCAATTTTCTAGATCAGTGCTGAGTTCATGTGAATTACAACAGCCCCCTTAAATACAAAGTTCTTGGTGCAGTTGGACAAGCTCTCCACTAAGAGAGGACCACCAGGACCAGTTTTTAGATCAAGTGTCTGTGTCTGTGAGGTGGGGCATCCATGGATCGGACTTGTTTGTCCAGCACATCCCACAGATTCTCGATTGGATTGAGATCTGGGAAATTTGTGTTCCTCAAACCATTCCTGAACCGTTTCTGCTTTGTGGCACGGAGCATTATTGTGCTGAAAGAGGCCACTGTCATCAGGAAATAACTTTTCCATGATGTTTTAGCAGACAGCAGTTTCCACTTGACATAGAGATTGTTTGTATTTACAGCCGACAAATGCTGGGATGATGTCGGCTGTGGTGTTCCTCGACCATTTGTCTGTGCCAAGAAAGTCTGATGAATCCTAGGCTGCCAGAGAGGCATCAAGTACCTGTCTAGAGCAACAAACACACTGTTTTTTGTGTCATCAGTCTTATAACTTGAAGGCTCTATATTTCTTTTTATTCAATTGCTGTTAAGCTACTTAAGGAATGAGAGAGGAGGAGCTGGATTGTCTCTTAGGCCTTAAATATTATAAGAAGAGCAGACTGAAATTAATGCTTTTAGCAACTTATTCTGGAGGGTGAACTGGTTTTTCTTGTCTTATGCAAAAAAAAGTCTCTAAAAGTCTCAAGCATTGATTCTGGACAAGGGACTGACTGGGACTAGGAAAGTTTATTTTATGTATATTTTCTGATATTTTCTGATATGAAGTTAATGATATTGTGCTGCCACGCTTCAAAGGAGATGGCAAGAATTGTTTAAGTGAATTAGTGATAAAACACCATCGTGCACAAATCATACCTCAATATCATCAATAGTGGCCCAAGTTTACGCATAATTCCTGAGGATGACGATACAGAAAACTGCATGGCAAAAGTAGCAGGTTCTCTATATTTTAGAGACCCCTCAAAATTTCACAAATCATGTTTTCAGGGGAGTTCATTAAGTTGAGCCCAGCTCCCCTGTAGTTAGCACCCTGGTAATAAGTAGATATTTTAACACAGAAATATGTCATTAATGCTGCATCAACATCATATAGGAAAATTCCTGTTTGCAACTGTGTACCGGACACCATTTTGTTTTGTTTAATAGTGCCACCATCTGGAGAAACTGGTAATTATTCAAACAGATATATGCCAGGGAGCATTTCACCTTCAGGTGCAAGACTGTTCTGTATTTTTAAAATGTAATTTAAAGTTCAGAGTAGGGACAAATCATCTGGTTCTATTGCAATTAGTTTTAAAGCTGTTCAGTAATCCATTTTAATTTATTTTTTCTAATTTGCCATTTGGATGCAGTAAAATAAAACATAAACACAGCTGATATATACCTAATAAAGTTGGTTTGGCAAACAATCTACACATCCAACAGACACAGAGCAACATTAACATACATTTAGAGTCAGGTTTATAGTCACCTAATGAGTCTAACTCATTGTCCACTGCACAATTTACAACATAAATTACCTCAACAAATGATTATAGTTTGGCAAAAACTTTTCCAAATTTTAAAGTTCAAGTTTGACTTAAAACCCTTTTTACAGTGCATTGCTTGGTTTCACTAATATCTCAAATGTTAGTTAGGGTTATAGACTATAGACTATATAACATTCTAATAATATTCAACCACAACAAGTGTTTACTTACCCCTGAATCGAGGGACAGAGGTTGTTGAACCTTGAACAAATTGTGAAGCCCTTGAGGCAATCTTTTATTTGCTGCTTTACAAATATTTAAAAATGGACTTGACTGGAAATTGTGCTTTTAAAATTGACAAATAGACAGGCTCTGATAGGGTGCTGCAGGTACACCTCTTACAAGAATTTCTCCATCCCACCGCTTGAACCTTGATTTGTAAACAACACAAAGGGTAATTTACTGTATATAAGAGCTGGCATTTCTCTTGTTCAGCACCTGAACACAAGAAGGTCGAAGCTACAAGCGGACAAAGAAGATAATCCAGCTGGAGGTTTGCTTCAACTCTCTTTCTCTCTACTCTGCTCTGTCTTCATCATCGTCTCTGATGGATTCTGACAGCCACTAGTACTGTCCTCACATCTCTTCTGAAGTATTACCAATGTGTCTGTTTCTCTTTATTGAAGATCATGAAGATGCTGACTGTGTCTCTACTCGTCTGTGCCATGATGGCTTGGACCACAGCTGCTGGTGATTATGAGCTGCTCATTTTATTTATATTTGCAATCGATGCTTCCTGAAAAAGAGGTCAATGTTCCCTCTTCTGAACCCGAAGGAGTTCCTGCACTGTAATGCGATAAGTTACTTTAACGCAAAACAATTGTTGAAACAGATTACACCGAAAATTTAACAACAAAGTAACACAAACTCTTTTTAATTTAAAAAAGATTCCTAATTAAGCGACTTTTAGTAGTAATTTTAAGCGGCACTAACTTAGGTTTGT